AGACATGTCGGTTTCCTCACGATGTTTTCCTTCACCGTTCGAGCTAATGTCAAATGCGCACATAGAAAGAAATCCCATTGGTGCACAGCCGGGGATCGAACCAACCAACACTGCTTAAATTTCTAGATAACGCATACAATTTTATACTAAATTAAACTACTGTTGCACAATAAGAATACTTTCCGTTCCAGCATAGGACAGTTTGAGATGTTGTTTAAAATTGTATGTGTGTAAAGTTTTGAATCGTCGGTGACAGTTTTGTTTTATGAAAGTGGTTAAGGTAGGTTTCGTATAAAAATCGTTGGACGAAGAAAGGGCATTTTTTCGGTAGCTTGTGGGTTGCGTTGTGTATGATGTGGTGTGGTCGGTGTTTGTTTCCAAAAAGTCTGCATATCTAACAATAAGATAGATTTAATGCGAGATGTCAACGTTGCAGTTGTTTTATGGGCTTTAAAATTGTTTCGCAAAAGGAAATAAGATTTCACTTGTCTGCTCCAGTTAGTGCTTACACGATTATATCTAAAAAATATTTTACACAATATCCTGGCTTCATAACACGCTATGTACTCTTTTGGTAAAATAGTTGCAACACAGTGAAAACATTTTCAATGAAAAATGCATTTTCTTTCGTAATAAAAAACACTTTAATGAGGGCAAGAAATAAACAACACAATCGGCTAATCGGAATTTACTACTAAATAAAATCACCTAAATATCCGTTTACGTTAAAAGTACGACTCTGAGTGCGGATTTAAGTCCTTTTGACACTTTCAGTATTTCATTTCAGTTGCGCGATGTACTTTCTGAATTGGTTTCTTTTAACATAAAATTGTAAAGAGTACTTGTAGCTCAATACTAATTTTAAAATGTAAAAACAATTTGCGTCAAGCACATTTTTGCTTTTAATCACTACTAGGCGCTAACCGGACGTAGATATTTCATAAAAAAATATTTATATAATCAAAGAGAGATTTGGTCATGACTGCATCCCACACTAGGATGAGATGCTGTACAGAAAAAATCTGATCAAAATTCTTGACTGGATACTTAAGAAAATTCATGAGTGTCGCCTTAAAAATCCTTTTCACCCTGAAAATGCCTTTGACAGTCATCTGTTTTATAGAAAAAATATACCTCATAGTGTACGAAAAACGAAATGTTTTTTTATAATATGAACCAAGACTTAAATGTCAAATATACAAAAGTATATTGCGGCAAAAGAAATCAAACTGCCATTAACACGAATAACAAAAGTAATATTATTTTTTAAATATTAAAAGAAACATATATATTTTATAATTTGTTTTCCGTAATAGTTTATTGCGGAACGCATGATATAGGCGGCAATCCTACGCGGGCCTTTCGAATATCGCATTCGAGAACTGTTATCTGTCGAGCCTCCTCGTTGTTGTGATTTAAAAATCGAATTTTGTGATACAGATAAAATAAAGTGTGTGAAAATGATTCGCAGTGGTCTCTTGTGTTTATGGTTTTTTATTACATTGAATGGAGGTGCTTTATCTGCTGAATCTGTGAGTAATTATTAATAAAACTATTAAGCCTAATATGTATTAATTAATTATCAATAAGGTAACAGTTTAAAACTATTTACGTATATTAAGATATTTATCATATATTTTTTGTGATATGTTTACGCAAAACTATAAATGACTAATATAAATAAAAATTGAAAGTAATAATAACTTAATGTTCTCGTTTTATTTTAAAACATGAAACGAGACAAGATATTATTTAGTTCTTTTTGTATACTTTTCTGAGAAAAAAAAAATTAGTTGTTTTAAATCTACATTATAAAAATATTTAAAGCTTTTATTGTTAATCAAATGTACTGACGTAATTTTATAATACAGAATCTAATACGGATAGTGTAAAATTCAAAATCCCAAATCAGAATTGCTTCTTGTTCTAGGTCGCATAAGTTATGCAGATATATTGTTTCTTGCATATATTATACAAGAATACTCCAGTTTCTATTACAACCTTGAAAGCGTGTGACTCGACATACAAGATTAGTGTCTGTGTATCATAAACATTCGAATCATTAAGTTTCACAATTATTTTGTTTATTAATTATTGTATCAATTAATTCCACATTATATTTGACAGATGTAGAACGATATTCAGATTTCTTTTGGGGTCTTAAAATACTTTTGATTAGTGTTGTAAGACCAGACCCAGGACTACCGAGATTGCGTAATTTTAATTGAACAACTATTGAATTAAATAATTACATTTTTATTAAGTTGCTAATATTATCAAATTTATACATAAATCATAACACATAAGTAGTATGTAATAAAACTTTCTAGATAGATAAAATAATTGAAAAAATAAATTTCATCAAGTCCCCTACGGAAATGCAATGATAGGTAGGTACCCATATCTCAAAAACCACGACTTTATTTATTTCCTAGGTTGGAATGTACTATTTAAATCAAAATCATCTCGATACACTTTCCCGCACGTTCTTGGAAGCCTACTTAGATCATCACACTCAAATTATCTAATTACAACAATATCACATATACTAGTATATCAAACTGTATATTTTAACCAACTTCAAATGGAGATTTATAGCTTAGTAATTTTTTTTACATATTGTATAACTTTATTATTTTTGCGTAAAAAATACTCGCTTGTTTATAAGGTTATTTTCTTATATTTAAGTATGAAATTAGTTTGCAGTCGACACAATGACGGTAAACATCTCAAGGAAACGATAGGGTTAAGACTTCAATTCGACTTCCTTCAAAAGAGCGTATCAAATCTTTTAAGACCGGCAACTCACTCGCGAGCCCTCTGGCATTGCGAGTGTCCATAATCACTTTACATCAGATGATCCTCCTGCCTTTTGGCCCCCTATTCTATAAAAAAAGAGTTGAGAGTCAAGTCTTAGCACTAAGTATGTCAAATCCAATACGTTTTTGATATTATTTTGACATGAAAAAGTCATAAGTCTCACCTTTGAATCTAGGAGTAAGATCCAAAAATCGTGTCAGTTTACGTTTGCCTATGAATGTAACATGGATAAATGCCATAACGTTTAAAGGGCTATCACGCCATTTGATTACTATTGTTCACAATCAATAAATGTCGCATTTAATGCCCCAACAAGTGGTGCGTGGAAATGCAACAGCGCATCAATGCGAATGGGAGAAAGTGTTCACGGGTCGTTGGAACTCGCTTTTGATCTGATTAAATAGAAATCAGTTCGTGTGCAATGTTTATAACATTTTATATTGTTTTATGTATCACATTTTTACTAGAGAATACGTGCATACAGTGTTGGAGTATTGGCTTCAGCGTCCGACTCTCATCCCTGAGGTCGTAGGTTCGATCCCAGGTTGTGCACCAATGGACTTTCTTTCTATGTGCGTATTTAACAGACGCTCGAACGGTGAAGGAAAACATCGTCAGGAAACCGGCTTGCTTTCGACACAAAAAGGCTGATCACCTACTTGCCTATTTGATTGACATATGCTTGATATTTAAACGGATACAAAATTCTGAGGCCCAGATCTAAAAAGGTTGTAGCGCCACTGATTTATTTTACAACTGATTTCTTTTATACAAAAGGTATTTGTTAAATTAAGCCTCTCTCAACAAATCCAGATTATTTATATGCATTCAACACTTGGTCGTACGGTTATGGTATTCACTCTGTAATGTTTTACCACAAAAAAGAAAATACATATGAAGTAGGCTGATCCCCTACTTATCTATAAAATATGAAAAGCAGATGTAATAATAATGATATATATATGAGACCAAACCCCATTTAGGGTTGTAGCACAGGTTTCCCAAACTATTTCGGGGGTGAGAATGACCAGATGACCTTCGTTTGATGGTGTTTCTGTGATAGGGCTGGAGATAAAGAAGAACAAGTGGCGCTTCTAGCGCTATTGGGGTATCTTTTTTATTATTATGATACTCTACTTCCTTCCATTGTGTCCAGGGACTTTTTCTATCTCTTAAACTTTTACTAAAAAGACACAAAATCTTAATTACAATAAACTAGTTCACGAATGTTTCGATCCCCGGCTGTGCACCAATGGACTCTTTTTCTATGTGCGCATTTAACATTTGCTCGAACGGTGAAGGAATATATCGTGAGGAAACCGACATGTCTTAGACCCAAAAAGTCGACGGCGTGTGTCAGGCACTGGAGGCTGATCACCTACTTGCCTATTAGATTTAAAAATGATCATGAAACAGATTCAGAAATCTGAGGCCTACCTAAAGAGGTTGTTGCCACTGATTTTATTTTTTAGTTCACGAATCATGTGTTACGTGTCTCGCGAAATACGCCCTGCCCCGGCTACATCGGTAATATTTTTATTTACAATATTCATGGGCGAGCCGGGGATTGGGGACTCTTAGCTAACCTCAGATTTGTTTCGTGATCATTTATTTTATGCAATAAGAAATGCGACATTCGTCGACATTTTAGGTCTAATGCCGGTTGCCTCACGATTTACTTCACCGTACGAGGTAGTATTAAATGCGCACAGTCTGTCCATTGGTCCCCGAGGTCGGTTCGATTCCTGCACAGTCGGGGATCGAAGAGATTTGGTTACCCTTATTTAGTGCGTTTTTTATGATCCTACACCATACATTTACGATAAATTATGCTAACTCAATTGCAACTTTTAACTTAAATGTTGAGAATATTTGATAATAGGGACGGTGATTGCAGTGTGTTATGTTTTTTTTGGTTAACTTAAATTTTGTGCTTTCGGAAATTGCGTAGTAAGATTTGTTTGATTATTTAGTTTATTTTTGCCTTAATTGTTTGTTTTAGCTTTTCTAACACACATACGGTGCACCACACACATTTGACATGTGTTAATAATATTACAGTCTACAATATATTTTTCCCCCGCCATTTATACCCGTTTAACCTCTGTTATTGCATCAAGCGTATCCATTAAAGGAATTAGCGAATGTTTCCTGTATTACGCAAATATTTGCTCAATGCGATGGTTGTTTCAAGCTTCATTAGTGGCAAACCACACAACCAGGTAAATCAATTAACTGCTGAATCAGACCATTTCATTGTGGAAGATGCAAATTGTAATGATGTAAACATTGGTAATCTTCGATTTGTAATCTTTATACAGTTGTAAATATTTAATTATTAAATCAATTAATAAGTTAATTCAGTACGTTTAAGTTCAGAGTTGTCTCGGGTTTTAATGCTGGTTGGGGCAATATAATTGCGATGTTAGGAAAGTTGTAGTAGCTTGGCGGTGTTAGAACACTGTTGTTATCTGTTAGGGGAGTATGCTTTTGGGCATACGCTTGTGGTCTGAAGTATAAGAAGAAAAGAGTTTGAGAACTAAACTATTATTACAAATTTCATCGTTTTTGTTCTTGGTTCTAAGCTTTAGTTTGAAGCGACATATGTCAATCATAAATAAATGTTTTTTTTAATAGATTTATAAGATATAAAACTATCTCAAACGCATCTATTATGAAGGTGAAGTGGTATGAAAATATGAAGGCCTGCTTCTTTAAAATGCAAAATCATTATTATTTTCCGGTAAAACTTTTCCAGTTCCTTATATCGATTATCAGTAATAATACGCTTAGAATAAATTTAACGTCATAGAAATTGTAGTGGACGATCTTTGCTTTAAAATAAAATATGAACAAAGAATTATTTGATAAAGCCGTTTTCGCATTTAGAAGGACTTATATTAAGCCGATATTGTCCGTCATTTGCACGTGTCAATACATTACAAAACAGTCTCTTCATTAATAATTTTATAAAGGCCGTAACTTCCGATTTAGTCAGTAAAAAAACCAAAGTTGTACAAACTGCTGCGTTCGAATAAGTTATTTGAGACGAAGGTTGCTCAAATGTTCTCAGAGTGAGCCGAGAATTTCCGCCTACCATGTATCTTATAAAGTTGTTACGTGGAAAGGAAAACAATTCGGCAGTGCTCCATTGCCTAGGCCTCAGGGTGCTGATGGTTACGTTAGGAGGCGACATTGACCGCCGTTACTATTCGTACCCTCTCGAATGGGTTAATTGTTAAGTGAACTGAAGCTGATCATGTCAGTTCCCAAACTGTATGAAATAGTTCGTCTTTTTGTAAATATTTTAATCTGTTACTGTTTAATTTTGTGTTGTTTTGATTCTATGTATATATATTGTATTGAAAATGTTTAAAGAACTTTATTTCTCATTAAAAATAATATTTTTTTGTCTGTAATGGTTAATTTTGTTAAAAATTAATTAGGTAAATAATTCATACAAGATAGAAATTAATAAAGTAACCAACGAAGTCAGAGACTTAATAATAAGGTTATTCAAAATTTGCGGTTAAAGACGGATAACGGAGCTTAAAAATTTCCGAAATAGTAAAGCAAACAGCCCACACAATGCCTTATTTAGTCTGAATGACAAATAGCAAGGTTGAGAGTTGCGCCCACTTTGTCTGACTCAAGCCTACACGTATTTGATTTCATTACCTGTGAACCATGATTAGATTCTTCACTTCATTTCATATTAATTATTCCTTATTTTGTCATTAATATGTCCTTATTATTATGGTTCATGCTGCGGTTTCTGGATCTGTTTCACTGACTCATCGAGAAGAAGGTGATCAATCTTCTACGTCTGATGCACGTCATCTAATACTGGACTTATCTAATCTAGAGGAAGTTTACTAGTCCACAATTGGAGTTCTAACTTTCAATGAATCGGAATTGAGATTCGAACCCTCGAATACACGTAAACATGCAAGTGTTCATATACATGATTTCCACTTATATTCTCTTTTCAAGATTATTATTTAACACTTTGATCCATGAATCTAAATATATAAAACAAAGTTGTGTTAGTTACACCACTTCTAACTCAAGATCGGCTGGACCAATGTTAGTTATCTCTTTTTTAGTGGCTTCTTCTCCGCACCGAATAGCAGAATAAGTAACAAAATATGGGATAAGTTATCGAATAACAATAAATAAGTAATTTAATTTTACAAATGCAAATAGCATGTGGTGCCATCTGTTGACAAAACTACGCATAATTTTACGTCGAATTCGTGTCAGTTCTTGAGGTGAATGAGGAGATGCATAACCAGGCTTTGATCTTGATCGAAGATATGTGTTACCTCATCAAAAAATGTTGTATATCAGAAAGTGCTTTAACGCAATATTGGCGCTAGAGAGGAGAGGCCTAATGTGTAAAACTGCTATTCTTCTTTCGCAATGGCAAGCAATAAAACATTACTGTATTTGCAAAAAAGTTGTAGGTATTTATGTTATTACCTTAATGAAATCCCCAAATAAATCTAACTAAAGTAACAACGATATTATTAGAAGAACGAAGTTAGCCGGGTCAGCTAGTAGGTATATTATATTTATAAGGTAACGAAAACGGTAAGCAAAAATTAGGGCGATGAAAAGCAAAATTTCCAAAGCGATATATTACAGTTAAAAGAAAAAAATATAATAAGGAGAAATTGCACTCCACACTATAAGAGGTAAAATTAAGTGGTATTAATAATAAATATTAGTAATTTTACATTATTTATTAGAAATCATAGTTGATTATACGTGATTGAAGTCTTGTTTATATTAATAATAGAACTGTTATCAATAAAACACTTTACTATTAAACCTTGTAAACAGCCTCACATGAAGCACAAAAATAACATTCGCAACGATACACCGCACGGATGAATTACGCAATCAAAGTGACTTATTTAGTGAGCCAAACCAGACTAAAGGCTACTTGCCGCAATGCTTATGGAATCTGGCTTATGTAACCATTTTGAAACCTATATTGCTTTGCTCTTGAGGGCTTTCAAAAGACCTATTGCAAATACTAAAATCCTTTGATGAAGAAACCTTTGCGTCTTCCGTCTATGTGGTAAACATAAGGTCATTAAATCGTTATTTTATTGTTAATACAATAGATATTAATAGTAATTAAGTGGTTGTGGTTATCTTAAGGACAAATGAGAAGTTATGATACAAATTTAATTAAGGCAATAATGATTCTTGTATTGTTCTTGCGACGTTACTAATATTTTTTTAAATCTTTTGCAATGATTGAAGCGGCAATTGATTGAAAGAGGTTCCTAGTAAATGAAATAGTCGCAGTCGCGGATTTATGTACTAATTTTTATGGTAAGGCTGTGAAGTTTTTTCCACATTCTACACTTGTCATGTCCTAGATTATTACAAATATTTCAAACCATCCAGTTTGCAGCCAACCAGTAGTAGGACTGACATGTATAGGTTGATAGGGGGAAGAGGGAAGAGGGAAATACACTGTCTGCAATTTCGCTCTTTTCACTCATATAAAGTGTGAGCTGAGGGTGCAGAGGTCGATTACTGGTTTGGGCGAAACTTGTCGCAGACTTATATCTATCTGTAAAGGATCAAAAAATGTCATGAGGTAGCAAAAAAAATCGAAAAAAAAATCCGCCGTCCTAGGCTCCAGCCTACTCAGCCTGCTGGTAACTACGCCACCAAATATACACAAAAATGTGTAAGAACGTAACGACACTATTATTAAATACAGTATTTATTATATAACTTTTGCGTCATAAGTTGGAAAGATTTTGGTGAAGTAATAATCTCATCTGACATTTTCCAACATATCCAAAAATACACGAAACAACATATTTGTACACGTCCACCTCATTCGATTTTTGTAATCAGTCAAAATTAAAGTTAGAACAACTGAGCTGATATTGTCGTTTATATTGACCTGTTTTTGAGACTGAAAATATATTGTAACAATAAAACTTCACGCCTAATAAAACTTACTAAACAAAATAATAGAATCAATGATAAAATGTTACCTAACAAATATAAAAAAAAATATTCTTATTCAAATAACTCTGAAATAAACACAGTTTTTTACATTTATACAACACATATAATGTATACGTAATAAAAGCCTTTCTCTTGATTGTATAATTGTAGATCACAGCACCGATATCAAGTTTGTACTTCATTTGTCACATTTTTAACACGGAAAAGGTATTTTAATAGGTGTTTATTAAGGTGAGTGTATTTAACTTAAGAATCTGGACAACATTGTATTCTTAACAATATATCTTGAAATTTCTACTAACATGCTGTTACTAAACTTTTCAAAACAAAAAAAAAACAATTTTTTAAAATTTAAAATTGTGTTAGTTGAAAGTGTTTCAGGTTAATCTATTATTTTATCAACATATGTATGAATGAGTAACCAATAAGTATACAAATAAAAATATTTACTAAGCATAATTGAAAAGCGTGATTGTACCACAAAAACCGCATTTTTCATAAAACTTTTACGTAAAGAGTACATTTTAGAAGATTGACCTTAACGAAAAGGAAACCAGAATATCACCGTCCACATTCACTTGATCGAATATCAAGTTTGTACTTCATTTGTCGCATTTAACTGTGTTTTTTAACATAGAAAATGTATTTTAATAGATGTTTATTAATAAGCTATACAACAATATACAACATTGTATATTAGTAATATATCTTAAAATTTATACAATTTATAAAATTGTATACAAAACAATTTTTCAAAATTTAAAATTGTGATAATTGAAAGTGTTTTAATAGGGTTAATCTAATATTTTATCAACATAAATGTCTGAAAGATTAAACAATAAGTATTAAAAATAAAAATAGTATTTTTAAAGCGCATCTTTCATAAAACTTTTACGTAAAGAATACATTTTAGAAGATACCTAAACGAAATAAAAACAGAGTATCTGGGTCAATAACACCAATGTTTATGGCAACTTGGGATTAGCGTGTATTGTACATTGTTTAGCGCATGATTTCTCATGACTATTAGTAAAGTAATTAATATTAATGTAAAAAAACAAAAATGATTTGTTGGTTTTTAAGTTTAAACTTATTCCTCACTCAAATATGATGTTTTTCCAGGAATCGAGATGCAGGGTTCCTCCCACAGCACCGCAGAAGATAGAACGGGTGATCTCTCTGTGTCAAGATGAAATAAAGCTGTCTATATTAAGAGGTAACGTGTAAGATTTTATTTCTAAACCCCTCTAAAGAAAATAAAACCCTGAAAAACCAACAATATCTAATTTGCCGAAAATCTTCAGGCTTTGTTGAATTAAATTTTGGTGTTACAATACACGTCAACAAAGTATTTTATTTTTCTTTAATTATTAATATTCACAATCAAATTTTAACCATTAGCGATATACGTATACACGAAAGACTAAGCGACCAGTTCATATTTTAGTTTTGCATACATATAATGTTTTTAGAGCTTAAAATTAAAACAATTTTCAATAGATTATACATAATTCGTAAGTATTGACTTAAAATATGTTTATATTACATAAACGTGGTTATATTCCTGTGTAAATCGGCAACAAGGTTTTACATAGAACATTTGCGCAATATTTTCCGTACCATAGAGAAAGCAATAGATAAAACAATATAAGCGAAACTAATAGGAATACAATAGGAAACGAATGGCCTCAACTGAGTGAGTCGTTTTGTCCGTCACAGTTTGCGACATCTAAGTTAAATTTGGTATTTTTAAAAGCTTAAGATTGACTGATTAAGGCAACCGAATACTTGACAGTGACAATTCGCTTCGCTTAGTTTGGATCCAGTTTTGTTTATTAAAAAAAAAACATTGACTAATATTTGTTAAATTCGGTATTTATTCAACGAAAGAACTCTTTACCATTCATATCTATAGCGATCTCAACTGGAGTAATACGTTTTTCAATCGTGCGATCCCATAGAAGTATAATATCAAAATTGTATAAAGTTATTGAACTGGGCAGAAGTTAAAAACTCCATCCAGCAAATTATTTAACTCTTCCCTCAAATCCTTAACAGTAACAGTAACGCTCGTTGATATTTTTTACAATATATATAATATATATAGTATTTATGAATTTAAAAAGATTATTCGCAGTGAAGACTTGCAACCTGAATAACTTTTTTTTTGTCAATAAATTTAATATATATATACTTCTGCATGTAATAGTTAAAATTCTGTAAACCAGCACTGAAGATGCCACTAAAATGCTGTGTATATATATACGTATGTATATACAGACTTCAGGTGTACAAATGTGGTTTTGTGTGTAATAACTGTATGTATTTAATCAATCTCAAAAATGTAAAAATAAAAATAAAATAAAATAAAGTATCTTTGTCCATCTATTTAAGAGAAAACGGGCCGTCAAAGCGACTCTTGACTATCTTAATCCAAGGTTGCGTGTAGTGAAGGTCACATTGTCAGTGAAAGTATAATGGTTGCACGTAATATTCGGTAATACTCGATTTAATGGATGTGTTATAATATTCTATGAAATATTGTTTGCGCTAAATTTATATGAATACTAGCTGACCCGGCAAACGTTGTGTTGCCGAAACATTTTTTTAGTTCAATAAAAATATCTACTATAATAAAAATAGGGGTGATCATAGAGGAGTGAAAATTAAGGGTGATATGTATTTTTGTATGCTGTATCATAAAAAAAAATTGTGTAAACAATAAAAATTAAATGTATGGTCCAATACATTTTGGGGAATGAAAAATAGATGTTGTCCGGCTTTTATTAAATGTTTAGCTTTTAAATAATCATTGAAATGCACTGCTCAGGTTAGTGTGTTTGGTCAAATTGACGTAACATTTTGACATGTCATGGCATATGTCATATGTCAATTGTCAACGCATGTTGGATAAGAGATTTTGTTGACCAATCACTATCAAAGGAAACACGCCGTCGCTTTGTTTGACAACATCGACTCTATTTTTTGTAAGCGTAATTGGACAAAAACGTTTACGGCCTTAAACGTCCGTTAATACAAATCAATGGTAACTATGCTAACAAATACTAGTACAGTACAATCATCATACACGTTTTATTATATAGCTCATTCAGTTTTTGTGTGGGCTGTATTGACTTTGCTTAACTTTTGCCCTTTGTTTGACACATTAAATAAAATATTTAAAATTTTATTTAACTATTTAAAATACGTACATTCAGATTGCTTTACTAGACAGAATAATACTTGTGATAAAAATTTAACACTAGATATATACCTACTAGCAGGTCTGCAAAATAACCTTGCGCTTTATTGGAAAGGTTGCCCATTCTCAAGATCGACGTGTATAACATTGTATATGTTGATATGTATTATATAATAAGTCCAAATTAAATTATGTGAACCAAATACTCTATAGACCTTAACTTTTTATTTAAATAGAAATGATATTTCAATATGACTATATGGATATAGTATATATTTTAATATGTATAACTCTACTTAGTTTAAGAAATAACTTTGTATATTGCTTAAATTAAAAATCACGTAAATAAGTCCATCAAAGGATTACATTAATTCAATACCATGACACATGATATTTTTTTAAAGAAATAATCCTTTGACTTAACTGTATGTCGATACTTGAGCTGACTCATGAACAATTCACCAGAGCGATAATCAACCTTTGGCATTGCTTGTGATATATTATACATACTCTTAAATATTATATAAAAGCATATTATAAAAAATATAAACTGAACAAGGCTTATTAATATCAAATTGAATTAAAGTTCAAGCAATCTTGATTTCTTTAACTTTATTTTGTGTGCTTTTATTTGTAGTATTACAGTTAAAACAATTATATTAATCTAAAACAATTAGCCAAGATTAGCAAAATAATAACATAATCATATTCTCTTCTGAGGGCGACCAAAAGTGTCAAACAGCTGTATGCGACAATTTACCTATGCAATAAAATACGATACTTCAAGGATTCTAAGCGATACTGGTGCACTGATGGAATATTTATAAATTACAAGACATCTAGAATTTAAAGTAGATGAAGCTCAATATACTTAATTGTCTTGTCTTGCTCAGTGACATTTACATAAGTACTATTTCTATGTATAACTGTTGAGGAAGCCAGTGGCGTAACTATACCATCTGGGGCCCGTAGCAAATTCTTTTGATGGGGACCTATCAGTAAAAATCGTCAGTGTAATTTTAATAAACTTCGAAATTTTCAGCGTACTCAATTACACGTTGTATATGTCCCACTAATGACCATAGGCCTCCTCTCTTAGGCGAGATGGTCTGTAGTCCCCACGCTAGCCCACTCACTGCCCAATGCGTATTGGAGACTTCACATTTAACCATAGAACATAATATCTCTTGGTCAGGGGCCCTCTTGGGGCGGGGGCCCGTGGCATTTTGCCAGCCCTGCCACCCTATTGTTACGCCACTGGAGGGAGCCATTTTTACCAAGCAGTTGAACCTTTTTTCTAGCTTACCGTTAAATAAACATTTCTTCCATTCATTCGAGGCTTTAGCGCCTAAGTAAATCCATATGCCAAACTCAACACTTTTTTGACATTTGGAAGTAATCCTTAGTTGTCTCGGTGATTCTTACCGATGATGTCCGTCCAAAGCGCCGTCATAATTGAACATGTACATTTATTTAAATTAACATCTGATTACAAGGAATATATTCGAGGTGAATTAAAAAAAAAATCAAGTCATCGTTTAAAAAATAATCACGAATGGTGATTGCATATATCGTGACCATACTTACCCAACACGTTAAAGGTTATTCAATAACCGAAAACACTAAATAGAACTTAATAATTATATCCGCCTTGAATACAATAAGGTCATCATGATAATATCATCAATATTACTCATTGTTGTGGTTCGATCAGGGGTACAAATCCTAAATGAGGTTAAAAAATATGTTATTGCGATTAATATTAAAACTGCTTTTCATGTTAATTATTTTACACATATTTGTTAAGTGATATACAGATTATATTTCTAAGTGGTAGTTTGTATAACAAATTGAAACAATTTTTTTTTTAAGTAACCCTAAGTTTTGCATAGTAACTACTTGCCTACACTATTGACTTCATAAATTTTATTTCTTCGTATAAAAATAATATTCAACTTAGCCTTATAAAATGTGCATTAAATGACATCTGATCCACTTGAAAAACTTGATTTAGCTTTTACGCGACGTAATAAAGAATAAGAATTTATATAAGTCGGTAGATAAGTGAATTGGATATTTTAATATTTTCATCATTGCTATATGTACGTAATGAAGGATGTTATACATAACGTAAGAACTTCTGAAAACTTTTTTTTTTTTTTTTTTTTATGTGTGACCGTACATTTATTTATTATTTATTTATTTATTTATTTTTCTCACAAAAACTTAAACTTAGAACATAGGCAAGTGACAGTTATATTCTGATGCCTGATAAAGGTAAGAGTACCTGTGTTACAGGTCATCAGGCCTCCACTACTTCGGATTGACAGAAGATACAATACAATACAATACATTACAATATATAGTATATAGAGGAAACCAGATGGGGTACGTGTGTATGTGTAAATTATGTGTATGTGTGTGGGTGTGTGTCTGTGTATGTTTTATATTTTATTACTTAAGTATTAGTCTATTGAAGCTAAAACTATTATACTAAAAATCAACTCTAAACTCAACTATTTAATTATTGTCAGCATTTTTTCTGTATCCTCATAGTTGAGGTCCAGTAGCCACAGTGCAACCGTCTTCTTGCACTCGTGTTTAGTTAGGGGATATGTGGAAAGGGAAGAGTTGACCTTATTATACAAGTAATCCCCCAAAAAACAGAAGAATTTCTGGGCAAAACTTGTGCGAAAGGGCTTTGAAGTGCACACTATGCCAAGTGCAAAACTATATGTATATAGGTGATGTGCAATTACCAAACATAATTATAAGAAAATATCCTTTTTGGGCAATACAACATATTATTATGTACGTATGTATTTTATTTTGTGTCTATAATTGGTGTAGGTCATTAGTAATCATAACAAACAAATATAAAGTCCGTTCCGTCGTTTCACAACTAAGCGATTCTTAAGGCAATTTCTGCCGCGCACCACCACTATGTGGAACCAGCTGCCCACTGAAGTATTTCCGAACCAATTCGACTCAGGGTCCTTCAAGAAAAGAGCGTACCAATTCTTAAAAGACCGGCAGCGCGCTTGCGAGCCTTCTGGCAGTGCGAGTGTCCATGGGCGGCGGTATCACTTAACATCAGGTGAGCCTCCTGCCCGTCTGCCTCCTGAAACATAAAAAAAAGTATTTACAATTTTCGTAACCTACATAGTAATAATACAAAAAAAATAAAATGTATTTAAAAAGTTTGGTCCCTGTGGCAGTGTACCTTTAACGCTGGCAGCATTTCCTCGTTTTATTGCTATACTTATTCATTGAGCGAGAAAAGCACCAGCTCTGGGGTCACCGGTACTATCTACCAGGAGCCAACTTAAATCTTTAATTAGCGCCTGTGCACTTCAACCCCACGACCCAAGAGTCACTACTACAAAGAGAATAAAATTGAAGTTGGAGGAAAGACTCTTATACTCTTGTTTTCTGTGCGCTAACGAACTCGTAAACATGAGAAAGAGATTTAGAACTGAGATTTAGCGCAAATGTCACCCGTTTGTCAAAAAAAAAAAAAAAAGGAGTCAGACTAAACAACCTAAAGCGGTCAACATGTGTCAGGCTTAACAACCTGACCCCATATACCCTTTATATTTTTATAGGTCGCATTGATATTATTTTCTTGTAGTAATTGTTTTAGAAGGCACATCTTAACAACTTCTTACAAATGCCTATGAAGAAACAATCAGTGAAGCAGAAGTAATGATTACGGCACTTTACAAGCATCAAAAATTCAGTAAAACGAATTCAGAGTCATAGCACAGCAATTATCTTATATAATACCCTCTCATTATTTTAATGTCCCAAATTATCACCTTCATAACGGGTTTAAAGATCGCGAAATACAGTTATGAAACAGGATAATTATATTTTAATTCGGCTCACTACGGAGGTGAGCTTTACTTTTTTTGCTGGACTTTTTTACCGGCTTTTATACAGCGTTTAACCTTAAAATTGACGGCAAAATAGTAATTGTTTAAGATTGATAGGGAGAGAAAATAATCAGTATTTGATTCAAAATGTAATATTAAAACAAACTAAGACATGGGGCGGTTCAAGTATTACGTAAGCAATATAGGGGTGAGGGGAGTCTTTGGTGATTTCGTCAACAGTAATTATTTACTTTTTTACACATATTACCCACAAATTGTCTATGCTTGAAAACGAAATGCATTTTCGAGGATTCCTACAAAAAATTAATACGTTTATATACTTACTATTATTTTTTGAGAGCTTTGCTTACTTTTACTGACATTCAAGAGGAGGGATGGGGGATAAATTTCAGTAAAGAAAATAATTAAAAATATACAAATAGATAATATTTCATATTAATGTAATAATACATGTAATTTCATATTACATGTTTTGCTTTAGTGTGAAAATCGACCGTTAATTTAACATGTTAGAATCATAATCTTTCGCAAATACACTTGTAACAAGTACTTAATTTCAGCGTCGTATAAGGCGTGTTGTGTGCAATAAGAATATGGGTCAATAGGCAATAGTGTAAAGAAATTCTTTCTCAATCGTACGTTGTGGAATCGTTCGAAACTACTTATTTTTATTTGGAATTTAATCGTCGATTTAGTCACTATCTTAAGAAACTAAATAAGACCTTATGTAACATTTTAATAGTAATAATTTACACTTTGTAACGACTTACTGCGACAGTCTAAGATATAACGAGATAGATTAAACTGTTGTCGTTCAAAAGTTATGGTAGTTTGATTATTACGAAAATCGGTTTTTACTGTTGTAATATATGTTAATATATATTCTGCTGTTGAAGTTTATATATATCTAACATTATGACTTTGTAGGTAATCATAATTTTATAAACGGTTACAAATAATTTAATTTATTATTATTATTAAACCTTTATTAATTAATCCATACAATAAGCGTTTAGTTTAAATTTCTTAGTATAAGTTCTAAAAATTAAGGTTATTTTTGTTAGTATTTGTATTTTGTTTGGCCCCTTTTAGGGTAAAGCCTTCTTCATATTTTTCTTTTTCTCTACAAATCATTAAATATATAATCATTTAATTATATCATACATTTAGTATCCACGATAAAAAATATTTTCCTTCAATCTTGTGTCTTAATAAAATAAAATTTAACAGTATAAAACGATAATTACAGAAGCGCTTGATGTCATCAAAGAGGAGCACACCATGCCAGCAGAGAGAAGAAGAAACAAGAGAGAAGTACCGTTCACACACGATGAGAAAAGAATAGCCGGGGTGTGTATCTTCTGTACATTTTGTAAATGTATTAAAGCAATAATATTTTTGCACATTCGAAAAAAAATATAAGAATCGGTCGAGCCGTTTCGAGTATGGGAACGAACATTGTGACACGACGATTTTATATATATGTATATAGAGATTTTACTTTAGGACTGTAATTAACACTAAATAACGCGCACAATACATGAAATTAAAATGAGATTATGCCAATAACCTTTTCTAATAATCCGCTATTTTGGAACAATAATAAACATTACTCCAGAATTGCATTAGCCAAATGAAATAAAAATGATTTGATTTGCAAACAATTATACTTTACGTGCACGTCTATTCTATGGTATCTCCTATGGTAAGATTTATTTATTTTTTTTATTTATTTATTTATTCCTTATTTCCTATTTTTACAGTAACTTAATACTAATACAATAGAAAACTAACTTAAAACATAATATAACCATAACAAGTAAAAACTTAAAAAAAACCTACACAATTTTATAACTAATTATAAATAATGAAATTCTTGTGAATTCAGCCAGTGTGCAACTAAATATATCCGTCTCACAAGCAATAGTGTTTAGGGTGCGCAAAACACGCGTAAATGGTGCTTCTCTAAGTAAATTCGTCCGCGCCCGAGGCACTGCCAGCAATTGCGACCGCTTACTCCGCCGAGTGTGGTTATTTGGCACACGCAGCCCCAGTCTTTCCAATATTTCCGCATTATATATTTTACCTCTAAGGATCTTAAAATAATATAGCGTGATAGTAAGGTCCCTCCTTACCTCTAACTTGTTGTATCCAACCATGCCCAAGACAAACAAAGTTGGATACATTATTGGGTAAAATGGGTACACTCCATACAACCTCATGTATATGTATCTCATAAATTTATTTTGGATGCGCTCCACCATTAGAGAATATTTTTTTTCTTGTGGGGCCCAAATCATAGAATTATATTCCAAGTGGCTCCTAACAAGTGCATTATACAATGCCATTACCGCTTTTATATTTGAAAATCCTTTGGCCATACGCAAAATAAACCCTAAATTCCTATAAGCTTTTTTACAAATTATTTTTATGTTATCCCGAAAATTTAATTCCACGTTTAAATGAACCCCTAGGTCTTTTATTTCGGCTACTCTTGGAATTGGCTGTTTCTCAATGTTATAATTAAGATGATAAAACCATCCTGATCTTGCATAATATACAATAATGATAACAATGACTATAGGCCCTTAGAAGTATTAAGTAAAATAAAAAGTACCTACGAATCGTACAAAACTTTAGAAGAATGAATTTATATGTAAAAATGTATTTTTCTAATTTCAGTGTCTGCTCCAGTGCGTGTACCGGAAAGTGAAAGCTGTATGTATTGAATTTATTTTATTTTTTACGCCATCAGTGATAGTATGGTTAATCTAACCGTTTCATCTATATATAATGTGAATTAGCTCGGTTTCTCTTTGTATTGTAAGTTAATTTGCTGCATTTTAGAAAACAGAAAACAAAGACTGTCATTGATATACTTAAATATTAAACTTTCAACACACAAGCAAGCTTCGATTGCTAGCGTAAACTATTGTTGCAGTTCTGATGAGCTGATCTGACAGTATTTTTTTATATATTTGTAAAAAAGGACAAAGCCATCTCGTTAAAAACCTCTTTTGTACGTGTGGTAATATAATTTTATGAATAAAGTCGGGATCAACTAGCAATTCTTCAATCTTGACATATTACGATCAACTTTTATGAATGCCATAAACCAAGGCATGTTAAAATGAAAAATTACAAAAAATCTGACTTTATTACTTTATAGCCGTCCGATGGATTGCTCCAATTTGTTACTATAAATAGACAACTCTAATATGTGGTTATTCAGTACATAGCATTTTGTACGTTCTTTTGCAATAAAATATAAAATAATCGAAAGCGCCTTACACAAATTTAAAGGCAATTTGTATCTTGTAATGCGAAGATGTTTGTTCGTGGGCTAGACTATTAAAAGTAGCTACTGTGAGTAGCAATCTGATTTCAAATCAGTGATGCCAACTTGTGGCATCTTGCCAATGAAGGTTTTTTGGGGGTTTTTACATTTATTTAGAGATTTTTACTTACTTTATTCAATTTTTTTTTATAATATCAATAAAACTACACGATTTGTATTAAGCCTCGAACCCATTTAACAAACTAAACCAAATGAAAACTCTAAGCGTAGCTATAATTGAAATTAAACAAAAAGCTTTAATACTCTAAGATCGAAAAAACGGCTATTTAATAATACTTGAATGTTTTTTAATGCATATTTGAATTTACTTAAAACCGATTGTATAAAACTATAGGGGTTTTCGATATTTAGTGGTATTCGAAGTTGCTCCTAGGTAGAACATTCTGCAGGATTTGGCATCACTGAACTACTTTATGGTACCAGCAGGTACTGTGTAAGAGTGTGTGAAGAACAGCGTTGCCAGATGTCCCGATTTTGGCGAGACGTCCCGATTTTTAAATCAAAATGAAATGTCCCGCGCGGGACAGACTTAGTCCCGCTATTCGGGAATAATACGATGGCAATAAGAAGTGTATACTACCACCACCGCACAATATTGGTACCAACTCTTTTAACAGAATCCAAAAAAAATACCGGGATTATCTTCAAACTTTATATTAAGTATCCTACCATCAAACTGCTTTGCAAAACGCCTTCTTTTTTAAATGCTTCGTAAATTTAATGAAATCAGAGTTACTCATCAAGTTTAATCTGCAGCTATCCTGTGAAGAGTTCTTCGTCTTTTTAAAGAGAAAAATGAATCTTTTAAAGAAGTTATATCTTCATAGAAATATTATGAATAAGTAATTCTTATAAAAAATTACTGTCTTATTGTAAGCTTATTGTGCAATTTGAAACCCTCAATCTTCAGAGTATTGTTTGAAACGCTATATTTTTCTAATACATAAGACTTTTTTTTATTTTGATTTTTTTTTTAATCCGAAGATGAATAAGAACTATTTAACGATAGGTTTAATCTGATTTAAATAAATTTTCTGTGACTATTTTCGCTGTCTATTGTCACAAAAACGTGATTTGAACTCAATTAAAAACATAAATATTTAAAAACTTCTGATTATTTAAAAATTTTTACTATGTCCCGCTTTCGACAAATGAATCCCGCTTTTTTCACTTTAAAAGTGCCTAAATCCCGACTTGACTAAAAAGAAATCTGGCAACGCTAGTGAAGAACCACACCTATTTCATAGTTATCAAAATCTCTTTATAGAAATGAGTAACTGTAGAGGTTTGTGAATAAAAATATATGATTTTATTCACTTTCATATCTAACAAGTTATAAGTACTAAAAGAACCTTAAATAGAGTCAGAAATAAAGTCTCCATAAGAATCTAATATTTAAAATTACCAAAATTGAGGCTTGATTGTTAGAATGTGTTCTTGTTGGAATTAAAACTTACCACATAAAAGACATTTAACACGTTCTTCATACATCAACTGACCTATTTCATTGCTGAAATCCCTCGAAGCGATTAAGGTAATTTAATATTTACAACGCAGTCATAAAAGTAAATAACTCCGACTTTCAATTATTGCTATTAATTGAATGTTGTCTGTAAATGCCGATTTTTAAATGAGCTGGTCGCCATTAGCACACATAATATATATACAGTACGAATAATGTTTGGTTTGTTTGTATTCACTACAAGTAAAGTATTTATTACAAACAGATTTCATCTTAATTTGAAATCGCAGAATTTATGAAGGCGCGGTATTTTGAATTTTTAAATACAAATTGTGTATTTCATAACGCAAAGACATCTAAAAAAATTGATGATTCTGAATAAATATGGAATAATTAGGTTTAAAGACTTTATTTCTCAAAAAAGACAACAAATGTCACTTACATGAGAATAATACTCTAGATAACATAACATTGTAGTCGTTCTTAAAATAATCACAATAAAATATAGCCGTATATGCAATAAATTTAAAAAATAAAAGTAAACAAAGAAATATGAATTAAAAGTAAGTAATAAGTAAGTAATAAGAAATGAATTTAAAAGTAATTTTGTTTAACATATTCACTTAGCTTCGATTTGAATGAATTGATAGAAGTAATATTTTTTATATCTGTGGGTAGTTTATTATACAGCTGTGCGCCTTCGTAGGTAAACATTTTTTTTGCCGTAGTTCGTACGTACTTTAGGTAATGCAAGATAACTCGTTCGACGCATACTTCGTACACGTGGCGGTTTGGAGAATGCTAAACTAGTATGGAGAGAACTTGTTATAAATTTTTTTACAAGAATACATGTGTGATAAAAAAAGTATGTTTTAGATTCATTATGGAATAATTAGTAAGCCCCTATCATTTATATACTCGTATTACGGAAGATAATGTTTGAAATAAACGTTATAATATCCTTATTCATCAACAATAATATTTTTTCACGTTTATTTATTAATAAAGTTAGTTAATAGTTATAAAGACAAAACATTAATAGCAATTTAGGTCTGGACTGGACATTTATTTTTTACAAATAAATATCTACTTATCCAAGAATAAAGTACCATTCTATTGGTAAAATATTTTTTAAATCAGTCCAGTAGTTTAATTACTAATAATACAACTTTTCCCATTTATAATATTATTATAGTAAATATATTTGAACGAACCAACAACCTACCATTTCTCTTTTAACTTTTCAGGTGGACGGCTTCGGGTTTCCAACACTAGAGGGTCTAGTAGGCTTATATTCAGACGGTGTTAATGAGCGAGGCTACTTCATGACTGTGCTGGAGGCTTCAAGGGAGTGTTTGATGCGTAACCATGATAAGTTCTCTAGGACAGTGCCTATGGGTATGTATTGTAATAGGCTTTGGTCGAATTATGTATTTACATATTTTCTCTATTTTACAACCTTATTAGTCCATGCAATTATACAAAATGATTGTCTAATTGCGTAGCACGCTGTATATTTGCAGCAGACTAGCGTTTATTTATTTATTATTTAATCATTAACACTTCGTTACATTACAATATAAAAATTGAGCACAATTAAATGTTTGTACAGAAGAAATTTAAAGGAAGATAGAGAAGGAGTTAAGCGAATAGGGACGGGAAGGGAATTCCATAGCCTAACTGCAGAATAAAACAAACAAAGAAATGTTCATTAAATTTACATGTTTATATTATAATGTTCATTATACATTGACAAATATGATTTCTCGGTTTAAATTTTGAATTTGGTCAAAATATTATTTTAAAATGTTGCTCAGCTATTGATATTTGCCTCATCTATGTTCATCCAAGATTTTTAAATATTCCTATTTATTTTATTTCAGATAACGGGCTCAATTGTGACATCTCCTTCGACATTTTCGAGTGTATTTCAGACAGAATAGGCGAATACTGCGGTACTTCTGGAATTTGAAAAACTAAGAAAGCAAACTTATATTATTAGTTACCATGTTTAATAATCAAAAAGATAAGAAATAATATATTTTAAGTACGTTAGTGAAAAGTGATAATAATACTAAATTGTGATGCTCAATAACCTAGAATAAGTTTAAAGGATAAATATTAAGGGATTTTAATTGATTTTTGTTCTAGACGAGTACTAAATCCATTGTCATTTTAATAATAACCATTTCCTTTGGCACATTCATTATCTATGGTACGTCTTTAATCTATGGTTGTTCAATCGCGGGGCACGTTACATACTTGTGACGGGCTTACGGCCTTTCCATCTTTATCTAGATCATAATGTAATTAATTCTTTTCTGTTCTAACTGTTTAATGTGTAAATTTATAATGAACTGATAGTATTAATTTTTTAATAAAATTGTAAATATACTTAAGCAAACTTAGTGGTTTTATTTTCATATAAGTGTAATTAAAAATTTCTTAATTTAACTATTACTAGGAAAGAAGAAGTATGTAGCAAACTACAGCCATTAAGGATATATTCAACTTCACTAGGGCTTTCCGACAACAAAGGCCCGTAGGAGGCCCCAACACGTCAATGTGAGTATGGCCCTTGCTGTGCCAAGGTCCATTCCACATTATTCATGTTTATTTCGGCCCCATATGGAGTACTGTTCTTACCTCTGGGCGGGAGTTCCCCAGTACTCTATGCATCTTCTACCGCATTTAACATGAAGAGTGTTCAGAGGGGTTGTTCGGACTAATAGCTGAGTTTCAACAACGGACGTCAAGGCAGAATACAAAATATCAATCGTGAAGGAAAATGAACATTGAACACGTTCCACAAAATCGAAAGAAATTATTTCAATTACCTGCGAAAAATTACGAAATCATCGCTGAACAATACAAACGTATTCATGCCTTTGAAGGTTCTTTCTTATTCATTTGAGTTAAAACCGACTAAAGATATAATTCATAGCTAGTCTCGAGGTTGCCTTTACATTTTACCTGGATTATGAATATATAACAATATTGAGAAGAAACCCTGAGCCTTTTTATGCCATGCCATAAGCCCATCTAAGAACTGTCAGCACATTTTTTAAGATATTACCCGATACTTGTGTCAAATTTCCGGAAATATAATTGTTTCCGGTTACAATACAGAGAAGGCTCCAAAGTCGCAATTCAAAATAATGAATGCCTTTTTTGAATTCCTAGAGAAAGTCCACAACTATAAATAAAAATAGCCTGTATTCGAGTGCTATAATAAGGATTTAAATTAAGTTTATGTTATTATATTTAATATTAGTTAGTCCATGACCTCCGACGGAATGAAGGCCTACTCCAAATTCTTCCATTTGTCTAATTCTTTACTACTATTTTCCAATCTTTCCCGCTATCTCTTTTATTTCATCTTCCCAGGTTTTTTGTGGACGTCCTCTCTTTTTTCTTCCCACTGGGCCATTCCAATTAAGAAAATATTCACGACTAGTTGCAATTATTAATATAGGAACCAGGAGTTATTTTCGATTCTCCACAAATAAAGATGCTTCCTGCTTATAAACCACAAAACACAAAGCGTGAACAAAATGAGTGATAATGATCTCCGATTGTACCGTGTCCCACGACCTCAGAGTTGTATATATTTACTAAATTCAATTGTATTATGAGATAATATGTCTATATAATTACACAAGTTTATTAACGAGATGTGATAAAATACGGAATACTTAGATGATGTTTTTATGCTATTCACATAATTTAAAATTCCCCAAGTGCGCACTGTGCATTTTATTTGTTATTGTTAGCTTTATCTTGGCTAATTAATTTTGATTTCCTACTTGGAGATGTCTAGTAGCTCCAACTTGATTACCTAATAGTATGAAAAATATCTAAGATTGGTTTGCAAATGATAAATTCGTATTTTGCAGAAGTTAGTTTAAATAAAGTAGAAGAAAAAACTAATCAATAACTACTTTTATTCAAACTTATATATATTGTCTTATTATTTAGAGCAGTGTTGGCCTGGTGGTTTCAGCGTGAGACTCTCATCCCTGAAGTCGTAGGTTCGATCCCCGGCTGTGCACAAATGGACTTTCTTTCTATGTGCGCATTTAACATTCACTCGAACGGTGAAGGAAAACATCGTGAGGAAACCGGCTTGCCTTAGGCCCAAAAGCCGACGGCGTGTGTCACACAGAAGGCTGATCACCTACTTGCCTATTAGATTGACAAATGATCATGAAACAGATACCGAGACCTGAGGGCCCAGACTTTAAAAAGCTTGAAGCGCCATTAATTTATTTATTTTTTATATGTATTGTCTGCTTATAGAAAAAAAATAAAAAAACACAGAAAATATGATAAATTAATTGCGTGCTATCTTCAATTTGTTTGTTTGTCCTTATGTGACATTTAAATACGACACGCCCTGCTATATTTCAGCCAGAAAAAGCTAGTTACATTTAGAAAACATAAAAGATTTCACAGAAACAAGTTTTATCGTAAGAAACATCGAATACAATTTCACAATTAAACTATTATTAACTGGCCCTAAGTGCAATTAAACCCATCATCATACCATACAAAAACCATCCCATACAGCGTGTAGGGCAAGCAAGCGTAAAGATGAGAGATGCCCTTCGTAGCTCCATTGTAGAATGACCTCTGCTTGACTTAACTTATGATACACCTGACCTCTTTTATACATTGGTTTTGCAAACAGGATTCAACACCAACAGTTTCCAATAAAGAAAATATATGTAAACATTTTCATGATTGTCACTTACTATCTATTTCTAACAACAAAACATTGTTTTAAATTAAACACTCAATGAAGAGAGAGTTAATTTTTAACAGTGTAAAATATAATAAATGATAAAGTTCACGAACCCGTTCAAGACAAAGAAAAGAAAATTTATTAAATTTCAATGAATATGTATTTAAAAAGTTTTCGATATGAAGTACTACGCAGGAGAAGCAAGTAGCAGTTTTAGGAGAAAGTTTTCCAGAATCTCCACTTTTCAATTACTTATTTTTTCACCACAGGAAACATATGATTTATTGAAAAAAGGCATAAAAGCTCTTTTTGTGAGTTATTAGCTTTTTAACTACAAAATAAAAATAATATTTTATCAAAGTTTTTTTTATTTATTTATTCCACATCATTATTCAATCTTTACAGTTATAACACAACGAACGACACATTAATTATACCCACACCGATTAACCTACATAAAAAACATTTTTTTTTTTATTTATATACCTAAATCTTACTCTTGTGAACTCAGCCAGTTATGTTTATTGTTAATAATATACATGGCGAAACTGGGGTATTTAAAATTGAACATATTAAACATAATATCCCTTGGGCACTTCGCTCGTATACTTCATATGTATGTTTTTGTCTTTCTTGACCGAATGACATGATGTTGTAATTAACGAATGCTACCAACAGACTTTTATTGCAGTATTGTAAAGCATCTTCAAGGTCTAACAGCACACGGAAGTTAACACAAACGCCGGATGAAAATAACAATTTATTAATGTTAACATAAACTTTATACATGAAAGTTACGATATTTCAATAATATTTTTTTATTACTCGATTTTCAGCTGCAATGCGTTTGAACCCTGGCTTGAGAGCATATTCTCTGGCTTATTTAAACTTGCACCTACCGGTGAAGGAGACCTGGATGCACCAACAATCTATGACGTGTAAAAATACTTATCACTTACTTGCAAAAGAAAAATAATTAAAGAAACAGATAAAGAAATCTTCTCTTATGGTATAGGCCTTAGCAATTAAATTAATCCACCGCTTGGTACGTCTATAAATAATAATAGCTTAATTTTTATAATAATTTAGCAAAATCGCAGTGATCGAATAAGTTACATTTCATAACACATTCTCATTTTCTATTTGAAATACATATTATTTTGTAATTCCAAAGATTTTCTTATTTAATTTTTCAGCGGATATTAGATTAAGATAAACACTAGCAAGCAATTATTAGCTTTCGTGAATAATGAGAACAAAACATCTTGTTCCTGGTGAATACGGAATCGAGGATGTGGTGGCCCTCATCTAACTATGTTACATCTTAGACTTAAAGGTTGTGTATATAGTAAGATATACTATCGAATGCTAGTACAAAATAGAGACGAAGACGTAGGATGTAAGTAGGTGGTCTTACTTCTATGAATGGAAACCGAAGGAAGAGTGAAGAAGATGGAAGACTTCTAAAGCCCACGTTGAGTTTTTGCGCACAACGGACCTGTGAGAGTCTATGTGCGGAAACGGAGTTCATCATCACAACCACCAGTTTTCAATAATGAGGCCATTTTAACCCAAATTAGCAGATGAACCGTTTCTTTACTAGATAGTCACGACACGGTAATTTCAAGTTTAATATGCTTCTTTTCTGATTTTGTAAAACAGCAATGTAACAAATAAAAGAATAACGTCAGAACCCACAAACCTGTAGCTGTTGTAGCGTGTAGAGTTACTAATAAATTCAACACTGCCTGTCAGGCAATAGTGGCACACGATTTTAAGTTATTATTTTTGATTATAGTAATAAAAGAATAGTACCGTTAATCATATGAATCAATATTTTCCTCGAAAAACTTACTGTATAGCTTTAACAGGAACAGGGACCTTATATTAATAACAATGATGTCCGGCCATTTTCACGGCGTATAACTTTGTACGTTAGCAATATCTATATAAGACGAATTTGATTTTCAACCTCATAGTTCACAGCGAACCAGGCACCTGAAGTGATTATGTGTTGTTGATTCATAGTGAAAATCAGTGAACATGTCTTGGATTGTGTGTGTTAGTGTTTTGTGTGTATGTGCGTTAGCCAGGACTCAAATTATACCTTCGAAGGCTAGAGCTAGTGATGGAGAGTTTAATAATGTTAATACGGATGGATCCTTTGATTTTGGGTATGTTCTGCTTAGATACAGATATGTCATGTGTATTTCAAACTCTATTATTATTTTTATCTATCTACATTAGTATTAAAAATCTAGTATTATTATTTCACCAGTCTATTATTAATGATATGCATTTAAAAACTTTACACAAAATTTAATTTGATTCTGTTGTCTACGCAAACGATTTTCGTTTTATTTTGAATATAAAATAAATAATTAAAGCAATCTATCCTAACTAAAGTAAATTTCGCTTCTATCTTTTAGTTAAATAGAAATATTTATATAGAGTCAAAGATATTACAGTCTATTGTCGTTGCTATTAGATTAACAGTTATGCGTATTTTACTCATAAATTTTGAATGTATATTCATCAGATACGTAAACAAAGACCGAGGGTCCAGCTATCATTTAGCCAAAGGCAACGCCAATGGTGTCGTGGGAGGAAGATTTGGTGCCAGAGAACCGGGCACTGAAGAGGTTAAAGAAACAATCTATACCGCTGGGCCAAGGGGGTAAGTGTCAATATTCTAGCTCTATTTTAATCTCTTCTGTCGTTATCACACTTAATGATACACTATGACTACATATTTAAAATACGAACATGATATATTTGTAATTTAAAGTGATATTCTCAAAAGCATACAATCTGCTACAAGCCAAGAGGCTGATTGCAGATAGGTGAAGGTGAAAAAAAATAGTGATACTCTTAATATAATTTTCAAGAATTCTTTGGACAACTCTGTAGGACTTTTAACTCATGAATTGAATTAAGTTAAATAAATGATGTAATAACATCGTGCTTGAATACGATAAGGACGTTATATTTTAATACTATAAGGTCGATTTAAGGAAATAAGTAATAATTTATTTTGTAATACCTTAGTTTTCGAGCAAAAGGACCGAATGTACATCGTAAAATAGACCTGGACCAACGCCCCAGAGGTCCTATTGGGAACAAAGATGACCCTTATTTTGACCCCAATGAAGATCCAAGCTATTCATTTAAAATTGACACCAGAACATACACTAAGAATGAAAATGCTGATAGCAGAGGCGATGTTAAAGGTAAATTCTTGATTGTATTATAAGCAACTGAAAGATACATCAATACAATAATAATAATTAGTTCCAATTAAACAACACAAATCTATTTTAGATAGTAAGTACAACTTAAAGGCTAATTTTAGTACCAACATCAACAGCAAAAAATTAAAAATGAATTACATCCCACGCGAACACTTGTTTCCCAAAGCCAACAATGTACGCACAAAATATATATAGGTAAATTGTATTTAAATGTCGTAGACACAAGAATTAACGACATCTGTTAGACACTAAAGGCAGCTCTGTATTTATCGATTAAAGAAACAGGTGCAATCTGAGGTCATTATTTTGCAGCGCCTGTATTATTATTTCCATTTATTCGGCAATCAGATCGCACAATATTAAGTATTCGGCGGATGGTTGTTGCAAGTTTTTTTTACAAACCTTTGTTATTAATAAAAATGTAAATTTATAAATTATCTTTGCAGGGCATTATTCATTCGTTGATGACATTGGAGAACGCCACGATGTCTCTTACATAGCTGGTAGAGACACTGGTTTTCATGTTTCCTCAGCATTTCCCGATTCTCCTAGAGGCATCGGTGCCCCCTTCCATAGGGCTCCATTGGTTCGTAATGAGAAAAATCCTAGAGGGAAGACTGCTGTCCAGCGGGGCTTAGATGGTTCTTATAGGTACAGTAAGAATTTCAAATAAGAAGTACAGTATATGTTTATCATATTTTTAATTCGGTTTGAATACTAAAAAAATTTGGATAGTTATGACCCACATAATATATTAAATATCTACTTTATATTTCATCCTTATATCTCTTGAGACAAATCTGGTCAACTAATTGAGTTCATAAATTTCTAGATTTATTTCCGCTGGACCAGACCAGAGACGAACAGAAACCAGTGACTCCCGTGGTAACGTTCGAGGGTCGTACACCTTTTTGGATGATAAAGGAGTTCAAAGGTATTTATGGCCCCTAATAATGTTCCCAAAAGAACCTATTGTAAAATTACTTTACCAAGGATTTGAGAACCAGATTTGATTTTGACTAACTTAAATGAAAAATTTGTCGAGTGACCGACTACTACATTGTTATATTAATTTGTTCGTTGTAATAATACGTTGGAATAATATCCCCCCTCTGCTGAAAAATCTTCGACTAAAATCAAATTTTCGTCACAGTTATAAAGTACATCTAGTTACACAACAATAATCCCACGAAATCTAGTTTTTAATCCGGCCTAAAATATTGATTTATCTATTTCTCAACAATTATTCTTATTTTTCATTTTTATATTTACTCTTTCATACACAAATCTTAACTACACAGTTAACTTTTACTATTATAATTACACTCTTTTTGTTTTTTTGCGTTTGAGGCGCAAACCAACTTTGTGGTCTCTGGCAGAATCGCCAGCGCTGTGGAACACGTCTGTTCGACAGCATAATGCTGAGCCAGGGCCAGTTACAAGAACAACGCACACACATTACACACTTAAAATGTACCTTGTAATGTGTGTAATGTGTTCTTTAAAAAACTTTTTTTTTGTTATTTTGTGTGTTCCTATGTGTGTGTTTCGTTAATAATAAATGTTATGTTTATGTCTAATATCTAGTCGTAAGCTAAGAAAAAAGTACTTCAAATCTCAATTTATAAAACCAGCTTACTCTTTAATAACGTTAACAGGACAGTCCACTACATAGCCGGTCCCGGTATAGGATACCGGATTGTGAAGAACAGCAATGACCCATTTATTCCATCGTACTTCCCAACGTTACCAAGTCAATACGATCCGGATTTCAATGACGTCACTTCTGTTGGAGCCTCCGTGGCACCAGCAGGATTTGTACCGAACGATGAAGGAACTGATGATGTCTTTAAAGGTGAGGAGCCTTTTTCATTAAGAGATACAGTTAGTGATTCATGTCCGGTATTAAAAGGTATCTCCAAATCTTTTTTCGATTTTGATTTACAGAAAAACCGTTAATAAAACTATTTACTTCTAAACTTGAACTTTTACTGTTTTATACACTACTGATTTATAAACTAAAAATTCTAAATTCTCTGTCTGAATTCAACGTTCTAGGTATTTCGATAAAGAAAACAGAAATAATTTTATAAATAACTTTAAAAATGTTATAAATTTCAGGCCCCGATGGTACAGCTGCTTCTGGTCACGTGAAACCTCCACCTTTTCCAACATCAGATGATAGACCAGATCCATCCACTTCTGACATAAGTAGTTCTGAAAATACTGACAGTGGCACAAATAGTTACGGCCAGGCCCCACCATTTAACCCAGAAACTGATAACCAAGACTTAAGCTACGTGGATGAAGAATCAACGAGTTTTGCAGGCCCTAAACCAACCAAAGGAACAGGTGATGCATAGCACGGATAGCAAATGGTTGACGTTGATGATCTTGCTAGAAATAATGCATCAGTCTTATAAACGAGCGTTCTTTTAGTAAGGAAAGAACTTTTATATCTAAGCAAGATCACAATTTTCAATCGAATTGCACTGGAGAAAGCTTGGAATTACTTTTTTGCTTGCAATAAATTATTGTTCACAACCAAACTGGTTTTTATTACACCACCAAACGGCACAGCACAGTGTAAGCGCACAAAGAACTTAGTAACAATTACCACTTGCAGGCAAACCTTGGCGTCCAAGCAGCAAACCTTTTAGGCCGACGAAGAAGCCTTACGTACCTCTAAAACCTTCTCAAGTGCCATTTAATAATGAAGATGAAATCAACAGTGGTGAAAAAAGTAAACCACAGTTTGCTGTAGGATTCAATATTCATAGTAAGCCTGGTACAACGATTATTAGGAATACTGGGCAGGATTATTTTGGTATTCCACCCGGTGTTTCAGTTCGTGCTCACGTTCAAAGTATCGATCTTTACCCGTTCGGTTCAAAGCCTTTATCGCCGTCAGAAGCTTTAGAACATGATACATTAGTATGAGCCTCGATTGTTCGTTGTAGTTAATAAAACCTTTTTGGAGAGTTTTCTGAAAAATTTATTTGAACTCGACTGTTAACAAAATGCAAAATAGTAACAAGGAGTTTGGATGTTTATCTATTGTGTTATCATATTTTTACAGCCCTATAGTCTATCTAATAAATTTGAATTATTTAGCTAAGTTTATAGAATAACAGCTATATGCTAGGTTCTTATTTTCTATAACAAATGGGTAACAATATTGCCAAGTTTATTAGATAGACATTTATTTATAACAGTTTTATAAGAATATTTATAAATGGGAAGGATAATTTGGCAATTTTATGAATAAACAGGAAAGTTAGTACTAATTACCATTAGGCCTATAATATGAAATTATGCAAGATTGAACAGTGTCTAAATATAAGAGTAAAATATAGTTTAAAATGTATAAACAAGTTTCATTTCACTTAGGCTAACGTGCTAAAATAAAAGCGTATTAAAATAGCATTTAAACGATTATCCGTAAATATATATAAAATAATTAACCGTAAAAGTATGTTCAGCATAACAAACGTTCAAGTATACAGATTAACAAAAAAATAAATTTGCGATACACATAAATTCTTAGTGATTACCAGTGGCGGATTTACCAGCAGGCTGAGTAGGTTGGAGCGTACGGCAGCAGATTTTTGTGGCGATAAATTTGGGAAGCGAACTTTTTTTCCTACCTCCTTGAAATCAAAAAGATTTCTGCAAGGCGGTTTGCTAATGTTTTACAGATAGAAGTCTGCAACAAATTTTGCCGATGACTTTCCCCTCTCACTTGTACATTTGTATGCTCGGTATGTAAAACCGCCACTGGTGATTTCAATTTTTGTGACGTGATAAAAACAAAACTCTTCATAATTGCTAGGTTTTGAACCAGTCTATGGCGTACTAGTGTAGGTCAATCTAAGGCCGTATAGCGCGAAAGATACCTAAAAATAAATAACAGTCGTAATAGAAAACTTTCCATAGATTTTTTAGACGTTTTAGTAATTATCCTTGATTAACGATAGACACTTTAGATCTTCTTTTTAATGGCCGTTGTTGCACGCATATTTAAACTTATACGTAGAGTGCCAAAAGATTCTCTTTTACGGTAAACTCTTTTATTTGTTTGAAACCTATGTCACCATAGACTATAGGAGAACGACGACGCGACGCGACGTCCTCATTCCGTTGTGCACTCGTTTGTGATTTCGCGCGATTTTAATAACTAACTTAATTGTAATAAAATCAGAAGCTTTGCTCTGCCCTAACATCTAATAAAAAGTGTATATTTGAAAATATGAAGCAATTTTTAATATAGAAAGATCTAAAAGGCCAAAGAGCAAATCACAATATAAAGCTTATTTAGAATTTGAAAGTGCTGGTACTAGTATGTAATATTTACAAATTTAGATATATTACATATAGTTTTCTTACATAATAATATAGTAATAGGACAGAAGACTTAAAATATAACTAAATTTTCCTTCATAGATTAATTTCAAAGCTTTGTACAGAGAAAAATCACAACGATTGAATTTGAATATAAAGTTTTTAATAATATTTTATGGAACAAACAACCGTACAGAGTTGTTCATTAAAATCACCGTCACCATCACCCCGTACCGACCTATGCATAAATGTCAAATTTCATTTACTCACAAAAATTGAAATACATATATTAAAATTCTTCATATTAAGTTTCAAGACGATTACAGACTGTCAAACTATAGTGACGTAAGTGCTGTCAATACAACAAAATGTAATAATTTAGGACTGCAGCGGCCCACGATGGTTCTATTACTAAGAGAGTAATAATTTAATGAACAACTCTGATTAGAACTCGGTGTTAAATAATCTCTTTAAAAAGTTTTAATAATAGAATTGATAGTAAATATTACAATAGTGCTTCTAAAGTTACTTGATATATACTTAGTATACCTATCTACTTAACCTAACCATTTCTGCAAATAAGGTATAAATATTGAAGCAATATGAATTAAGCCTGAAAATCTATTATTCACATTAATTTTCACAGCCTTTATTAAATCCTACGGCTTTAACTCTATACTAATATTATAAGCCAATATACACGAGTAAAATTAATTAGAGAACAGATAACAGGGTAAAGAATAGAATGTGTTAAAATTACTTGTATGTCCTATAGGCACATCTATGGTCTAGAAATTGTGACCTATTTTTAACTATCCAAACCATAAATTCAAATTTGGAATCTATGATGTCAAACAGTGGGCTAAAGACAAGCGTTTCCGCTTGATTCGCTTAATTAGGCGCATGGCAGCTGACATCTCATTCTGAACTTGGAATTCTGTGGTCTTTATATAGATATAAAAGCAAATGATAATACGTTCGTCTCACGTTAAATAGGTTTAAATTATCATTAAAGGTAAGTACCGAAGTCTTTTATTATACGAAGCTAAAAATAAGGCATTAGAAAACCATAAATAACTATAACTTAAGTGACAAAAAAATTAAATAAAGTTGAGAATGCAAAAAACTAGTGAAATAAAAAATAAAAAACTTATAAAACTTTAATAAAACCAAAATCAGTACACAATGTTCAATAGGATACCCATACACAATATAAAATTTAAATAATCATAAGCACCATACATTTGTGCGAATTTGTCTTTTAAATATAGCCACAAACTCATCTGACCATTTCGTTGAAATGAAAATATTTCCATAGAGAAATGACAGCGCCATCTAGTCAGAAAAGTTGGCAGTTCTATATTAAAAACGTTGTCTATGTTAAAATGTTGTTTTAAAATTACATTTAAAAGAAACTTAACAACATTTAAATGATTTATAACGTGTTTTTTTAAACAAGTGATTGAAAGATTAGTTTTTAATAAAATAATAAAATCGAAAAACGGGCAAGTAACTATAGGAACAGTCTATTTAAAAGTTCATTATATTTGAGTTTTTATGTTCTGGCCTCGATTCTTGTAATTTAACTTCGATAGGATTGAGGTTGTCAAAGTCCGGTCAATGAAATTTGATACGTATATCATCCAAATAAAGTTCGTTTTCGCTAACAATGTACGAGTTACACACAAGTACACTGAGTTACACGGGCATATAAACCTTCTTCCTTATGTCATTAAGATCAAAATTTTCTATCCTTCACGTCCTGTTACAGATAAATTACAAGAATCTAGGCACAGAATGACTTCTTTTTAAGACTAGATTATAACTTAAATGATTAATAGTAACTTATTCTGAGCTTTTTACTTTAACTAATAAATTATTTTAAAAATAACATTTATTTTAATAATAATAATAATGTGAATAAATTTTGGCGCGGATTAAAGTATCAGATCTGTTAAAACAAATATAGAAAAAATATGAGCATACTTATTAATACTAGTTAATACGTATTTTGTAAATATAATATTCTGTGACATAAGTTAATATAAGACTCAGTTTACTTAAGGGGTAAAATAGCGATTTTATTTTTAACTCAGGCGCAACGTACTGTGGCGCGCATTGCGCTAACTCAAAATGATAATACACTTGACAGCTGACATTGGCAGATGACTTGCTTTGCTCACTTTACAGTATCAGTTGACACTGTAAATAGTTATTTAAATTTTTTATAGAATTCGTGGAAATTTATTGTTTATGATCATCTCAAAGATATTTCTTCCTTTCTTAACAACCTCTTTCGGTAAATTTTCAATGATCACGTGACATGCTATTATTTGAAATGTGACTTGACACAGAGTCAGCGAAATGGCGCCGAGCAGATATCAAATTTAATTAACAATTAAATATACTTTTTAATAATATATTATAAATTAACCACAATATAATGGTACTTTTGTGCAAGATTATTATAGGTACAGCGTATAAGGGATTATATAATGAGTGTGTGCTGTGTTTTAAGCATTTTTTAATATTATTAGGCTGTCAATAAATAAAATTGTAACAACCATTTTGTTATTTTTTAAAGTCAAATAACCTAAAGCTAAAATTCACAGTAGCATCTCTATGATGTCATCATGTAATTACATTATTACATATAAAAATCCTGATTGAGATTTTAATAACTTAGGTCCATATTCTAATTCATATCCCCAGCCACTACTATCTCGTCTCGTTAGAATACGGGCCTAAGACTGATATTTTGCTTATTCTGTGCGAATTAAAGTTAATCACATGTTAGTTACATAATTTGTTAGAATTTCACTAGAAAACTTAGCTCGTCAATTAAATTTTTAAGACAGTTCAGTACGCAAGATTTTTATATTATTTTATACATAGGAGCTTTCAAAACGTTTCTATCTCTGTCTGTGCCATATATAAATGAAAGAGACAGCTATATTTTTTACATCGAGCCTCTGTTTATAAAACTAAATTGTTAATGGCGAGCCTCTTTCAAAAACTATTTCAACAATGTATTAACAGCAAAAATTATCTAAAATGTCGTCGAAATGTATACTGAGTCTGGTCTGAGATATTTTTATTTTAAAATGTTTATTTTCAGGACAATAAATACACATTAATAATATTTAATAACAACTGGTTTGAATTGAATTTTCTTATCGGATGGTCCATTCATCGAGACACAGTAAACATTTCGAATAACAAACACTTAATCTATACGCATCAACGGACGCGTTGTACGCTTTTATTACGTCATTTTGATTTTCTTTGAGGTCTCCTCTATCATGTCTTTGATTTTTGTGAGAGGCGATCGTTTGGCTCCCTCCACTTTTAAGTGTTCCGGTAAGTGGATGTTTAAGGGGTCACGTAGCTTGGCTAGGTCCTTTTGGAGTTTGTCAATCTGAAATAGATAATTCTTTGTTAGTTTTGCGTATGAAAATGTGAACCAAAGACCTAATGTTTTTACACGATTGACTTATTGTCGCTTTTACTATTTCACACCCCTTCTTCATACAATACAAGGCAAACCCAACTATTTAATATTCCTCGGTCTAATACAAACTAATTACGTACGTAGATATACCTTCAGATTATAATACAAATTACCAGCACATAGATATATTAAATGTAACTAAAAAATGTTGAAAAAATAATTAAAAAAAACTCTGGTATCTTTTATTTATAATGGCTTTGTTATTCTACCTTTATATTAAATATATATTATAATGATCAATGAATCTTAGAACTTAGAATTTATTATAAATATATACTTTGTTATATTTTTTGTATAAATAGGTTTATGTTTGAATGTATATTCCAAAAAATTAAACAGAATCAATCCTGAAAAGAATTGTGTCGCAACAGCTTCATCATCGGACGTCGAGGCAGAATAGGAAGTTCCACCCGTATCACCTCAACGTCCGTCGTTCTACAACTGAGCGTTTTAAGTCAATTTGCGCACCACCACTATGTGAAACTAGAACTGAAGTTTTTCTAAACCAATTCGACTTTCAAGAGTTTACAAATTCTGAAAAGGCTGCCAACGCACAGACACAGCATTGCGAGTGTCCATTGTCCATCACTTAACAATAGATGAGCCTTCTACCCGTTTGCCTTCAATTCTATAAAAAAAGACAGAAATCCAAAAGCATTAAGGGAACTATAATGCGCACGCGTTTAGATTTCAACAACACGGACGACACGTCCTTGACCTAATTACTGGCGCACACGGCCGCTTTCGTAGTCAGGCTAAAAGGCGCACTTGCAATCTTTTAGTGCAACCGTCCAAAGACAAGATTCAAGCCTTAACTGCTTAAAAATTGGAACACAGGAAGAGACAGAACACAAACTTTGTTACTACACATTTAAATTGAATAATAAAAACGTTATCAAAATCTACAGCTGTCACAAAAATAGTTTACCTCATCCTTGAGATGATTATATTGGTTAATATCGAGGCCAATCTTTTTCGCCTTCTTGTGCAGAGTAATGAGGTGCTGTCTGTCTTTTACATCTGGCAAGACATATTCCTGAAAAATAATTTTATTATTATCATGTGTAGTATTCAGTTCATTACAATTTAAAGGAGTGGTGGAGTTTCTTTCCGGTTCTTATGCGTTCTACGACCTTGATTTGGGACCTGTCATTAAATGTAATTTAGGGCCATATGCCTGTTACGCGTACTAAAATCGGGTTCCCTTTTGTGTATGGACTATACACTGCTGTGTTTACATTTTCGTGTGTCTATTGTTGATTTCTTTAGTTGTGTTATTCATACTATTAAAAAAAAATATTATCTGTCATACATATTAAGAACGCTTCTATAATTATAAGTTGTATAATATATTTTTTACATATCTTGTATTTATCATGTTTCCTTATTGATAAATAAATAAATTTTTGGTCATTTTGTGTTGACATATATATGTATAGAATAAGTTACATAACTTTGACTTAAATAAGAGTAAATGTATACGTTAATCTATCCATAACCCCTTGGTACCACGCAGCTGAGCTGAATCATTCATGTATGTTATGAGATTGAGTTATGCGTTATTAAAAAAAAGTAAAAGAGTATTGTATAACTAAGGACTAAAATTTAATTCACATAAAGCACCAAATGGGTGAATACTTGGCCTTATTATAAATGATTAAGGTGATTGGAATTTGCATAAAACGAGGGTAAGTGACAAACTACTGTGTGAAGTGCACGTTATTGAAGTAATTAGTGACGGTTTATTCGTAAACATTAAATAAATGATTTTTGTTTGTTTCTTTGCTATACGTAGGCTTATATCCTAGGCTTCCTTCGATTCCCAGCGTCATATTTCTCGGTCTAGAATCTACTTTAAAGTTAACAATTAGCGGCCCAAGAATTTTAAGGTAACGAGACCTCAAACAAGATTTAATAATTAAGCTGACTTACCTGTTTAGTTAGCACGAAGTATGCATAGGCAGCCATTGCAGTGCCATAAGTTACGAAGTAGGTCACAGGTTCCATGATGTCCCAAGAGTATTCCCACCAGGTCAATCGGGCTAGGACTCCAAACTGAACTCCCATAAGACCTAGGCCCACCCATGTTAGTAAGGAAGTCTTTCGTGTCGTCTCTACTTCTAGGGACATCCGTTTCTGTAATAGATTATATAGATAGATAGATTCTAAAGAACTGATGAGGCGGTCATGCATTTTTCAATTCAGACTTCACAATGAACTCGTCAAAGGCTTTTTTTATATAACAGGGGGCAAGCGGGCAGGAGGCTCACCCTTGTATTCCCTTTGGAGTAGAGACTCTTTGGCACGGCCAAGGTCAAGTGCACAGGCGCTAATTAAAGGTTATTTTTTATATATAATTTAAGGTTGGCGCCTGGTAGATAGTACCGGTGACCCCAGAGCTGGTGCTTTCCTTGCTCAACGAATAAATATCGCAATACAGCGAGGAAATGCTGCCAGCATGTACGGTACTGCCACATGGACCAAACTTTTTAAATTTGTTTTAATTTTCTATTTATCAATATTTAATTATTATTACTATGTAGGTTAAGAATATTGAATGTTCTGTATATTTGTGTGTTGGAAATAAATACATTAATTAAAAAATATTCTTTAAAAATATATACTTATTGGGAATGGTAAGTGAAAAAAACGCAGAGGTATCCTATACCACACTACTACAAATATTGTGTATAACTATTGAAGTTAAAATTGTCTTTAGGATTAAATTTGGGTGAGGGAATCTTTACGTACCTACTTCACAGACTATATAGCGCTATAGACCAAGAGACTAGATATGTTAACACAAACCTCTTCTAACGGCTGCAATTCCATGGACAGCTTCTCAAGTTGCGATCTCAACTCTCTCTCTTTCTTAATCTGGTGCTCACGAACGTTTAGTGCTTCATATAATTGGTTAACGAGATTCCTGACGTCACTTAAACGTGTTATCTCCTCAGCACTAAGACGTTCCTGAAAAAATATTAAATAAAATTAATAACTTATTTATTATTTAATTCTAAATCAATTCTTATCGATTCGCGTAAATTTAAGTTTTAAAAAGTATGGTAAATTTGATTACCTTATATACTGAATATTAAAATATAAAAAAGTTTTTGTATGTCTATAGACTTGAGCCAAACGACATGACAGCATACGGTATTAGAAATTTTAAATCTTCTGAACCATATACAATCAAAAACCTTTCAAGCCGAAAGGAATTTTCAGTGGCTAAATTTGAACCACTGTTCGACCAAATATTTAGAAGCTACTGTGAGTAGCTCAGATTGGGGCAGACAAAACCTAGTCCAATTTAACCCCAAGAAGACACAAGTTTGCGCGTTTTCCGCTAAAAAAACACCCTTTGTCGCTACTCCTCTTTTCGAAAACACTCTTCTTAAAGCCACAGCCAGCATTGGAATACTTGGCGTTGACATATCGAGCGACGTTCAGTTTCGCGGTCACTTGGAGGAAAGGCTAAATTAGCCTCCAAAAAGCTTGGTGTGCTCAGTAAGGCGAGACGGTACTTCACTCCGGGCCACCGCATGCAACTATATAAAGCGCAAATTCGGCCCCACATGGAGTACTGCTCTCACCTCTGGGCGGGGGCTCCCCAGTACCAGCTCCTTCCACTTGACCGTATACAACGCAGAGCGGTTCGAATCGTTGACGACCAATCCCTCTCCGAGCGGCTTGATCCTTTGGCGTTGCGTAGAGATGTGGGGTCACTCTGCATCTTCTACCGCATTTACCATGGAGAGTGTTCAGAGGAGTTGTTCGGATTAATACCTGCAGCTGAGTTTCATCATCGGACGTCGAGGCAGAATACGAAATTCCACCCGTATCACCTCGACGTCCGACGTTCCACAACTGAGCGTTTCTCAAGGCAGTTTTTGCCGCGCACCACCACTATGTGGAACCAGCTGCCCACTGAAGTATTCCCGAACCAATTCGACTTAGGGTCCTTCAAGAAAAGAGCGTACCAATTCTTAAAAGGCCGGCAACGCACTCGCGAGCCCTCTGGCATTGAGAGTGTCCATGGGCGGCGGTATCACTTAACATCAGGTGAGCCTCCTGCCCGTTTGCCCCCGTTCTATAAAAAAAAAAAAAAAAAAAAGAGTAACGACTCAAAGAATATCTAGAGAACCAACTGAAGCAGCGATAAGATTTCAAAAACCATTTTCAAATTGTATGACCACTGTTGCATCGCTCTCGAAGGCAACTATATTTAATAATCTAATCAAATTATATATTTTCTATGTTAGCTACGAACTTTTCAGACCACCTATTAGCCTATTATTACACAACACAAGTCCCTTTATCCATACGAATACATTAATTATAACTATAGTTCTAGCATTGTCTACTAAGAGCAGTATTGGCATGTTGCCAATCATAAATAACGAAACAAGTTGGAAAACTATTTTATTAGAGAAATTAGAACAATAGCTATTTGAGTGCAAGTGCTATTGACTTTCATTAAAAAAGAAAATTCGTAAAATACAGCTTCACCGCCTGCATGACATATGGGGAGTTTTTCAATTCCATTTGCAGCATAATATTAGTATGAGTATTGAGTAACATAGCGGATCTAGAATTCCAATTAAAGTAAAAACTAGTCAACCAACTACGTAACTAAGTAGAGAGAGAGACAAAAACTTGTGTATACGGTACTTTATCCATTATCTAAAAATCATAGCTATTTACTAACAATATAAATTAAAATTTTGTGATAGTCCAAGACTCCCATGACCCATTGAGGATCTCTGGATTACAAAACTATTAAAAAGGCCTTAGGTGCAATTGTTGACTATAAAATTTATAATTTATAACCATTATAAGCGATTATTTAACTAAGTATAATAATAATAACACTTTATTTAGATATATAATGTATATAAAAAGACAAAGGAGGTAAATGCGGTCTTACTGCTAAAAGCGATATCTTCCAGACAACCCTAGACGCAAAAAAATTAAATATAAAAAGACAAACAATAAAAGACAGATTTATCAAACTGTATAACATTTCTGACACTCATTGTCGGACGGAAAGAGGCGTTTACTGAGACATATTTTTTTTATTAAATTTTTGTGTACCCTCAAAAAACATTCCTGTATACATAATTGTTGGTTATTATTAAAGTCTCGAATTCAATATAAAATCCAAATGAATGAATTCCAGAGCGTGATCCCGTGTGAAACGCGACTTAATAAAATTTTACGAGATTTTTCACGTTCCACACGCGCCTTTACTAACAAAATTTTAATTAAGGTGCCTGGTGAAGCTGTATGCCTTTATTGAAATTCAAACCAAATATTCTTATCGAATTTCTATAAAGCGTACAAATACGAATTTGTTAAAATAAAAACTGGAGTGCTTTTCATCATATGTAGTTAAGGAGATAATCAGTTAACAGATAACTATTTGATATTATAATTAGGGTGATATTACGAAACGAGAGAGATATAGATATGTCAAATGTATTGGATTTTGACATACAAATCCTAGTTTGTACTCGCGTTTCTGTTGCAGTTCCAACATTTTGTGTGCCGTGCACCACCTAAGCGTATCTAAAATTATTATGCCCATTCATAGAATTTATAATACAAATTATGTGTGTACATAAATTGTATTATAAAAAAAAAATTCACTTTAGAAACTTAAAAAAAGAAATTAGGAAGAAATCACTAAGAAATTGTTACGGAACACAGTAAGTAAATTTTTAAAACTAATGAAAAACGTCGAGTCCATTTTCGAATTGCAAATCATTGTAACAATGATGCCTATTGCAATGTTGCCAAACTAACGCCATCTATTGTCGCGAACTATACATCGCAAATATGTTCTAGTACATAGCCACAAAATATTTTATGATGATTTTAAAGCGTCTAGGACCCAAAAACTCCTGGCGAATTTAGCGGCCTGGAAACGTAAAAAGTAATATCGTGCTAATGTTACCATGGTTAGGTTATGTCCATAAAGAATGGTAACCATGGCAACAAATCCTGTTCTAACTTTAACCCTCTTATAATCTACTAGTAAGACACACTACACTTTATAAGAAGCAGTCTGCTAGACAGGCTACTTCTAATTAATTTGCGATATTTGTTTTATAATAAGTTGTTCGATGATTTGCTATTTTAAAAAAATACCGAGAGTTTTTTCGCCGCCTTTTTCTCTTGGCCTACACCCTCTATTTCTTTAATGACGTGGAATAAGTGATACCGGTTTCTTATATTCCATAATAAACATATTTTTTATAAGATCTATAAAATTCATCATTATACATGTTAAGAATGAATTACTGAAGTGCCACGAATTTTTCAGAAAGCTTCATTCACCGTTATTTGCATATCGCTAACACTGCTCATTGACTGTTAAGCCTTAATAAATCCCGTTTAATAAAGGAACCCACAGTCTTTTCAACTGAAACAATTATTCAGCCTTCATAATACCTCATTTAACAACCGAGCCCATTAAAACGCCTAACGAACAGTTTCACGCTTTACAAAAGATTCTAACACATTTCTTTTTCAAACATTCACGCGAGGGTTCGCTTTGCCATATCTTCATTTCAACTGAATAAACCTTACTGATTTCATTTGACATATTTTTTTTTTATTTTACTATGTGATATTGCATATTAACATTTTTTTTTATTAAAAAACTTGTTCGAAAGCCAAAATTCTTGTTCAAATCACAATAACGAAATCTCATGTAGCATTAACATCGTATCACTAATAAAGTAAATTTAACGACATTTTCCAACTTTGATAAAAATGAATTGAAAAAATTCTTGCTGCAAATAGCATATTTCTCCAAAAGACGTCCGTCGCCTTGCCTAAGAGTGTGCTGAAATTCCACCAAGCTGAATTGCAAAAAAGATTTCCAGAAAAGAATGGTTGATGATGTTTTAAAAACAAAAAAATCGTAGCTATCCATACAGAAACCAAAACCCACCAGCCTTGGTAATCTTTTTTAGAAATTATCGGAAGTAATGGATAGATATGGATGCTCATGTTTTGTTGATTCTAGTTTCGGTTAATTATACAAAGAAAATTTCTTTAAATTTTGTTGTTCTGTCAATAAAAGACTATAAATAAAAAGCTGACTGTCTAACACATATTTTATTTCATCTCAAGTTAACATAGAACCCATGGTTTGGCCTAGACATTCTTAGTGCTCAACTTGCCCCATACCCTTGCTCAACTTACCCCACCTATGGGGTACATTGAGCATACTTGACTTTCTGCATTTAAACATCTGTAGCTATTATATTGGACTTGTTACAAAAAAATACTATGGACACTTTTGTTAAGGGATAAATTACTAATCCATCAGGACACATAACAACTCATTGAGACTTATCATTGAGGAGCTATATCCAAGCAAGTGAAAAATTGCTCAACTAGCCCCGCCCTACCCTAATTTAGAATAACAAAATATCCCTCGGTACTTTCGCTCAGAAAAAACATTTTTTGTACATTACATACAGTATCAAGCATGCTTTATTTATTAATACTGTTTTCGTATAATGTAACAACGACTGCCATCAAGTCCATTTTATTTAGTATTGTTATTGATGCCCTTAAGAATTTCATGATATTGTATCATGATACTAATTTTAAGCATATTTCTAGGTGCTTAAATACTTTATATTCGGTCTGTTATCCAATACCACCACTTACCCGATTAATTAATTTAATTTGTAATATCTGTAGGCATTGGGTATAGCAACTATAATATGGTTTACATAATGATATAGAAAAAAAATATTTCAGAAATAGGCCGACACTCAACTTGTACGAATTTACTTACATACTAAGTCTAAGTTAAATTATGTCATTACCATAAGCTTAAACAAATGAATAAACATACAGCTAAATCCTATTATACCTATATATATTGATGAATATATCTTTTGAATATTCAAACCAAATGAATGAATACGCTTAATTAACTAAAAGGGTCGAAAAATTCCCTTAACCTAATTACGTAATTAGCTCATTTACTCAAATACTTGCGTCACGAAATCTACGTTAACTACCAAAGAAAAATTACGTTAATATTTCATACTCATTTACATGCATTTGAGTTCGAAAAATATAATTTCTTTGTTAATTAGGTCAAATTTAGTAATGACCATTATATTGATATATAAGCAACTTATGTAGCTATGAATCTAACCTCATAATATATAATTACTAGATGACGCGGCTGACTTCATTCCGCCTAACAGTTAATAATATCGTGTTAACTTTAGTTAAACTTAATTTGGGATTTCATTAAGGTAATAACTTTACACCACCTTTTTTTGCAAATACAGAAATGTTTTATTTCGTTGGTATTAGAGGTTTGGATGCCAAAAACCGCCATATCGCTCCCTTTCGTGACATATTTGCAGATATATTTGATCGACTTTGACTTTCTTATTTCGTCAACAGATGGCACCACATGCTGTTTGCATTCGTAAAATTAATTTATTGTGGAGAGGAGTGGTGTCTTGAGTTATAAGTGGTGTAACTAACACCACTTTGTTTTATATATTTAGATGTCTTTATTTGGGATCTGGTTTAATGTACGGGAATATAAAAATAACAATATCAAAATGACTTACAGTAACTCGTATTATAGACATCTTGACATAATAGTTGAACGTATATATACGTTTTCATGTCTTTGCAACTAACGATTATAATTATTTTTCATTTAGTATATATAAATTAGTGAGTTTCTTATAAGTATAATACAATCGAAAAGATTTTTGTTAATAATTGAAAAATTCAATCATAAAAAAATTCAGTTGCTCGTCCTCATCTTTCGGTGACCACTTGACAGTTGACATGTCGAGTTATTTATAATTGGGATTAGGAAAGGAGCATCAAGAGACAGAGTCTAAAAGAACATTGACGTTTATAAATAACTAGCTGATCCGGCAAACGTCGTTTTGCCATGTATATCATTTATAATAAAAAATAGGGGTTGATCGTAGAGGGGTGAAAATTAGGGGTTATATGTATTTTTAATGCTGTATCATAAAAAAATAAGAAATAAAATTATCTAAAAACTAATTAAAAAAATAGGGGTGGACTACCCTTAACATTTAGGGAAATGAAAAATAGATGTTGTCCGATTCTCAGACATACCCAATATGCACAAAAAATTTCATGAGAATCGGTCGAGCCGTTTCGGAGGAGTTTAACTACAAACACCGCGACACGAGAATTTTATATATTAGATAATAAATTCGCGTTTATACCATTCAAGTTGATTTACTCACGAAATCAAAGACAATATTCGTACGATTTCTGAAAGTCCGGCATAGCTGCTGTCCATGGCCATTTAACACATCAATTAACACCAGAGACAGTTGGCTTCCTCTTTTATAATACAGTATGTTTTAATTAAATTCGTGAACATTGAAAAGCAACGTACCGAGAGTCTATCAGCTCAATATGTAAATCTTGAGCGAAGATCAATTGAGGATCGTCGTTAATTTCCGGCAACGACTGGAGTAGACTAAGTTTTGATTAGAATCGATACTAGTTTCCGTTCCATAAACAATGGACTCTTTAATACTCTGCAGCAACATTAAAGCTAACAGACAGAATATTTGTTTTAAATTCGAATGGGAAATAAACTATTAAAGTAAAAATTTCGATGGAACGGAGCATCCTAACAATTCAAGTGTTTAAATAAACGAAAACACTAAAGTAGCAGAAATGACAATGGCTATACTGCCATTCGGGGAAGAAAAATTAAACCTTGAAGAGATCTACGGCGTTTTCTATCCGATCCCTAGCTCGTATCAATATGTTCTCAACCCGGGCCGTACTTTAGAATCGGCTGTACACCAATGGACTTTTATTTCTCTGCATATTTAACACTCGCTCCTGAAGGAAATCATCGTAAGGAGAATAGTAAAGTTCTAAAAACACCGTGTGTTAGGCACCATCTTGCTTGTTAACAAAAAAATCAAGATAACAGAAATCTGGGGACAACCAAGGCTTGTAGCCACTGTTTTTAAATATAGAATAAAACAAAATATATTTAAACAATCTACACGAATATTATAAAGACATAAGTATATAAGAGGGGTAATCTCTCAGAATTATTTTATCAATAGAACCACGTTTGTGCCAACCAAAAATGAAAATACTTTCACGTCAGCGTTTACGGGACACGATTGCACGCTACTAACTAAATAAAATATAACCCAAGGAAGTTGAAAGAAAACAAATACAAATGTTACATATTATACCTACTATCCCGGCCCCTTATATTTCTGTCGATTACGATCGTTAAGACTTCGTTAATGAACTAAGCGACACAAATAGGAATTTGAACCTGTGGTCCCTGATTAAAGCTTTAGCATATTAGCATTAAGCTTCTCGCTTCGGAGGCCAAGGCGGAGTGAGTGAATATGTTTTTTTAGAGTGTAGGGACTCGCAAATCGGCGGGCCCCCACTTATTGGAAATACTATTAAAGAAGTGGCTACGCCAGTACCTCTCGCGAATTAAGATAAGTACCTACGCAAAGCGTATACATAAGATCCTGCACCACCGCGAGAGTTTATAATATTGAAATAAAAAAATATTCGGCCATAAAAAAAACCGTTTATAACTAATAATCTTACCTGAGGTGGACTCTTGACATAATACTCGGTATCATTGATGACTATTCTAAAGTCGTTCTCCAATAGAGCCTCAACCGTGTCGCTTGATGCGATGCGCACACGTTCGTCAGCTGCTATCGCTACAGCCCGCTCGACACCGCGATCTTCTGCCTTTAACTGTAAAATAAATTAATTATATAATAAAATATAAAGTTTGTTACGCGGCCAAGTCCTTAAATATCAAAAACAAGATTAAAAATAGTACCAATAAAACTAAAATGACTTGGAAGTTAATTGATAGTGAAACTGGAAGAGTCAGGGATCGCAATCAAGACATCGAACTATGTGTCGATAACACTATAATCAAATCTAACGAAGAGATAGCGATTGTTTTTGATAAGTACATTTCTGACATTCCAATTTCGACTACTAAGTCTCTTCAATCATCTCCCGCCCTCGCCGAATCGCTGCTCAAAGATAATGTAAACGAGTGCAAGGTCAGTTTTTCATTCCGACCCATTGGTGCCGACGATATAGCGAGGATATTTAGAACCATAGATATTAAGAACCCTACCAATCTTTGGGGTATTTCTGTAAAAATAATTAGTAGCATAATTGATGTAATTGCTCCCCATCTAGCTATAATTTTCAACAATTGTATTAAAAGTGGCGAGTTTCCCGATCTAATGAAACATAGTAAAGTTATTCCTTTATTTAAAGCAGGTAGTATGTCCGACCCCAGTAACTTTAGACCAATTTCCGTACTACCTACTTGTAGTAAAATATTTGAAAAAATTATATTAAATCAACTGGTAAGTCATTTTAACGTAAACAAATTATTACATAATAATCAGTTCGGTTTTACCAAGGGTCGCTCGACAGCCGATGCCGGTGTTGAGTTATATAGATATATAGTTAAGGCTTGGGAGGAGTCGCATGACGCTTTAGGTGTTTTCTGCGACTTATCCAAAGCATTTGATTGTGTCCAACACGAGACCTTAATCGGGAAACTCCGCCACTATGGCATCAAGAATACCGCACTGAATCTTCTGACTTCCTATTTACACGGAAGAACTCAGAAGGTTGAAGTGAATGGTAAGAGGTCCTCTGGGTCGGCAGTAGATATGGGGTACCACAGGGCTCAATTCTTGGCCCTTTCCTCTTTCTTGTTTATATAAATGATCTACCTTTCATGGTAGAGAGAAAACATCAGATAGTTTTGTTTGCTGATGACACGTCCTTGATTTTTAAAATCAAACGACAAATAACAAATTTTGACGATGTGAACAATGCTCTGTCTTCGATTGTCCATTGGTTTAGTATGAATAACCTTCTACTTAATGCAAAAAAGACAAAATGCATTAAATTTTGTGCAAAAAATGCAAGGGTTATGGATACTAGACCAATTATAAACGGTGAGGAATTGAATCTGGATGATACAACTGTATTTCTCGGAATCACCATGGATTCAAAACTTCAGTGGTCCCCTCATATTAACGGATTGGCGAAGAGACTTAGTTCTGCAGCCTACGCGGTTAAAAAAATTCGCTCACTAACTGATGTCGATACAGCTAGACTTGTTTATTTTAGTTACTTTCATAGCTTAATGACTTATGGCTTATTATTATGGGGTCATGCTGCTGATGTCGAAACCATTTTCATCCTGCAGAAGAGGGCTATTCGTGCAATCTATAATTTAAAATGTAGGGAATCTCTTAGAGATAAATTCAAGGAAATTAATATACTTACCTTTCCCTCGCAATATATTTATGAAAATATTATGTATGTATACAAAAATAGTGATAAGTTTACTAGAATAGAACATACGCACAATGTTAATACACGGAACAAACGCAGGCTGCAATTTCCCCCTACTAGACTATCTAAAGTTAGTAATTCTTTTTTGGGGAAAGGGATACTCTTCTTTAATAAAATCCCAGAGGCTCTTTTATCACTGCCTTTCAATAAATTTAAGAAATGTATTAAAGAAAAGCTGTGTAAAAAGGCTTACTATAAAGTCAACGATTATCTAGTTGATAAAAGGGCCTGGGACTAGTGCTAGACAGGCTACTCCTAATCAATTTGCGATATTTGTTTTAAATAAGTGTTGTTTGATGATTTGCTGTTTTAAAAGAGTACCGAGAGTTTTTTACGCCGGCTTTTTCTCTCGGCCTACACCCTCTGTCTTCTTTGCCGATGAGTAGGGATGCCTTCAAATTTAATGACGTGGAATAAGTGATACATGTATCTTATGTTCCATAATAAACATATTTTATTTTATTTTTATTTTTAATTAAACACTCTTAGTTTAAAGGGATTGTTGATTTTAAATATCAAAGCTCGGTACATTTGTTATGATTTTTTTGTATTTGTGGAACTAAGTATAACTTAGAATTTCTGTCAGCAGAAAGTCTTGTTTCCTACAAGTTCATGCTTCGATTTTGATGATACTTAGACTATTTCCTATGTTTGAAGACCTAGTCTAAAAAGTTATTGTTACAATACTATCTAATTTTTATTATTAATAAATTTATTTATTATTTACACCTGTTTTTAAAGTATTTAACTTCTCATAATTAGTTACGAACAGTATATATAAGACGTATGTACCTGTATATTCAATTAAGAGAAACATAGCGCATACAAAAATTCTTATATGAACCGCCATTTTAGCTGAATTGAACTGATACTGAACGAAATGAAATACGAATACAAATTGCAAATGCATTTTATTAAGTTCTCATCAAAAGTGCCATTCAGCTTTATTATATGATAAAGCAAACGTTAATTAAAATGTATGAAATGATAGGAAAGTAATTTCCTTAAACGTAAAGGTTACATAAATAAATTTACAATTTTTTTTGAACTGAAAGTTTTTGAAGGGATCACACACAATTAATTTTGATTTTCACATCAATTAAATTTAAAATACTAAAATGTGTGCATACATACACATAAATAATAATAGAAAAATATCTAGATCTAAACTAGGATAAAATCTCGACGGAACTGATTTGATTTGAAGTGATAAATAAATGATTATATTTTTATAATAAAACAGTTTTCGTTAACATAAACATAAAGTTTTGGTTCCATTATTTAATAATAATAAGTAATTTAATTACTATTAATGGCCATTGTAAGTATACTAAGTTTAAATATATTTTAAACATTATCCAACACGAATGTTGAAATGCAAGATTAATTCTGGTTACTTTATAACGCTTCCGGTTTGCGGTTTAAGATGAAACGTTAAATTGAAACAAATTTAGTTTCGTTATCCGCAAATAAACGTACTATGCGGGCAGTTGTAAATACTACTAAGCTGCCCTTTAGCAGCACAGGAATAAGACTTTCAAATATACCGTCTACATTGAACAATTAAAGCCTGTGAAAGCAAAGATACCTAATTAAATTCGGTATTGTGACTCGTACAATCCGATTATTATTGTTTATCAAATTCCGTAATAATTTCCCCCTACTCAATATTATTTCGATCCAAATAATGCAGAGAATTTGATAAAGTATCGCTGTATAGTGAAATTGTTATACATATTTGAGGAACACACTGGCTGGATTTGCCGTTAAGTATTATATATTAGGTCCTTACATATGAAATTGGCGTATTTCGTACTGGCCACTATAATGACGATGTTCTCCTCTTTGGTAAGTAATTCCAAATTCAAATTTGTACAGCTATTTACTCATGTATTTGTGCTTCGATGACCGTCATTCATTTGTTTTTTCTTCTGTTTTTTTCTGTTTGCGTCACTCATTTTACAAAATGGAAAACTTAAAGTATCGCATTATTTACGAGTACGAGTTCCGCCCTGACACTAGTGCTGCAGAAACGACTCGAAGGATGAATGATGTGTATGGCGGTCATGTTGCAAAAGAAAACACAGTTCGTTTTTGGTTCCAACGTTTTCGTTCTTGAAATTTCGACCTGCAGAACAAGCCCCGTGGACGGCCTGAGACCCAAGTTGATAATGAAGTATTGAAGGCTATTGTGGAAGCGGATCCATCGCAAACCACGTCCGAGTTAGCTGCAGGCTGCGGTGTTAGTGATAAAACCTTTTTTAATTCACTTGAAGCAAATTGGGAAGATTAAAAAGCTTGAAAGATGGGTATACCTCACGAATTGAATGAAGCAAACCGGCAAACGCGCGTCGACTGCTGCGTTACATTACTGAACCGGCACAATATTGAAGGTATTTTAAACCGAATCATTACCTGTGATGAAAAATGGATTCTTTACGATAATCGGAAGCACTCAGCGCAAGCGAAAATTAACCCCAAAAAGTTACTAGTAAGCTTTTGGTGGACTAGTGCCGGTATTGTTCATTGCAGTTTCCTCAAATCTGGCTAGACTATTACGGCTGATGTCTATTGTCAGCAATTGCAAACCATGATGGAAAAGCTAGCGGCTAAAAAACCTAGGCTGGTCAATCGCTCCACGCCACTGCTACTTCACGACAACGCTAGACCACACACTGCACAACAGACGGCTACCAAATTAGAAGAGCTTCAATTGGAATGTCTAAGACATCCACCGTACTCCCCGGACCTTGCTCCAACAGATTACCAATTTTTTCGAAATTTGGACGCAAGGGAAAAAATTTAACTCTGATGGGGCAGTCCAAATCGCGTTCACAGATTTTATTGATTTCCGTCCGACTGGTTCTTTTAGTAAAGGGATCAATGAACTACCTATGAAATGTCAAAAGTGCATAGAAAACAATGGTTCATACTTTGATTAATTAAAATTATATTTCAAAATATTCGACTTTTTGTTCCTCCCATACAAAATGCCAATTTCATATGTAAGGACCTAATATAACTTAAATCTCTAAAAGAAATTCTGTTGGCCCCAAGTTTACGAACTTGAATCGCTATAGACCATCGTTTCTCAACCATTTTTATGTCGACCCACGAAAAAGCCAAAAGGTTAAGTAAAACAGTCTTGCGAACCCGTCACAGTTTTATAACACTAAACTATAATTATTCATTTCTTTAATAAACTAATCTTTTGTACTTTACTATGTAGTTAGTATGTATTATTGTTTAGTTTTTTGTCTAATATATTAACTTTTGACTTTACTGTACTGAGTTAAATAACCCATAATAACCACAGTCCAACAGTCCACTATTTCAAAAGTGTTTCTCATATCATCAAAGTTTTCTTACAGTAGTAAAAAACATCGACTAACCGGCATAATCAAGACTCAAATCAATGTGTGTCAGAGACAAGCTGATCATTAATTTTTCTTAAAATATATTCAATAGCACTTAGCGTTGCATTAGACAGAAGTAAAGTTTATTCAGGGTTTGTTCAACTCACCTGTTCCAATAAATCTCCAACGGTTTGTGACACCGGCCGCAACGTGAAGCGGCATTTCTCACGACGCGACGGCAGAGGCACAGTAATGACTGGCAGACCACGACGATACGTCACCGACACCTCTGCAAAATAAGGTTTAATATTATTAATTAAACCAAAACTATGTGTCTACAAACAGTAGACATTTACGACGCTTGATCTTTTTTCAAGGCATGACTAGGGACCTATATGCTCCAGGTAGGGGGTAGAGTGCAACCGGCGTAGAAAGCCAACCTACTCGGATTTTTTTAATACAACAGACGGCAAATGGGCAGGAGGCGGGCCGGTAGTGTTGCGAAAAAGGTGACCTATTTATAAATAGCGAATGGTTCTTGTTCAACCATTTATATACCGTGGTGAAAGTGAAATTTAGAAAATAGCTTTTTACAATATTGTTAAACATAAATTCTTAAAATATTTTTTATTTCTCTCTCCGCTGCAGTGCAGAGTGCATTATAAAGTTGGAATTAGTCTTTGTTGCAACATTTGAAATAGAATACATACATTATACTTATTTCTTTGTGACTTTAATTACATTTTTTTTAAGTTCTTATCAAACGTTATTTTTATGTAACAGGAGGCAAACAGCCAGGAGGCTCATCTGATGTTAAGTGATAACGCCGCCCATGGACAATCTCAAAGCCAGCGGCAATTGATGAATTAGAACGCTTTTTTTTTTGATGGACCCTAAGTCGAATTAGTTCTTTAGATATTGAGCTCCCAGTTGCCCCCAGAACTCGAATGGAGCAGGTCTGTGCGAAGTGTGCGCTGGTGTACCCTAACTGAGTCTTGGCTTCCGAAACTAGATAATGTTTTTCTTTATTTAATTTACTACCAGCATAAGAATAATAATAAATGAATAAAACTGTCAATAAAATTATCTCGATGGTTCGTGCTGCAGGGTATACCGTATAACATAACATTCAAATGTCTCGTACCACTCACGGATACTTAAAATACAATATATAGTAGGTACTTGTTACTTACGGGTCGTCCTATTGATCGCAAGTTTATATAAAGCTGAAGAATTTCTTTACATCTTACAATTTTAGGATTCGATTCGAAGTGAACATGTATTCTATAGTCTGTTTATTGAATTTTAAAACAAATAAATAAACGCAGGTTAAATTGACAAAATATTATAATTATTCAAACATTAATTTTTAAAGATATATATAACGCGCCAAAAGAATATATATATTCTTTTGGCGCGTTAGGGAAAAATGATGAGAGTAAATTTTAACAACGCGCGCGCACACCGTCACAAAAAACCGACACCCTGAAGTTAGCAGCTATAGTCAATATTTAAGTTTTTTCTACAAACGTAGAACAAATTTTTTTTAAAGATTTTTATCTTGTTACGCCAAAGAAGTATAACTTCTAAGTACATAAGTACACACACCTATTTTTTTTAATTTTCTTGTTCTTATTTATTACAGTCAATATTCTTCCATACGAGCTAGTACAAGCTAGTCAATTAACATTATGGCAAAGAAATGATTCTATTAGCGAGGTGGTCGTCGTGGACTGATTGTTCTCACCTACTTAACTAGTCGACTGTTCAGTGCTGAGCAAAGTATCACTCATGTTACCTATAAAGGGCTGATATTCGTAACACTTTTTTATTATACAATTGAAAAAAAAAGGGTCATTGACCTGCATGTACAATTGGAATTGGATAATGAATGAGTAATCTATTAATACTTCCAAGGGCGTTTGCTAAGTTTCGTATGTGTTCACAAATTTCTCGGAAAGTAAAACTCATATAATTATTTGTTTTTTTTAAATATTTTAATCGGGTTTTTAGCGAACAGTCCAAATCCAAGTTTCAGCAAAATTGATATATCGTCACATTTTGGAGTGGGCAAATTGTGTAGGTACAGATAAAAAATTATTTCTTAACTTTTTTATTTTAGTTGAAAAGTGTTCGTTTAATTTATTTTTTAATTAACACGTAAAAATGTGGATTAATTCACGGTCTGGCTTAGATTAAAAAATGTAATCTAAAGCTTTGAATTAAAAAATACTTTCTTTAAAATATTGTGAAACTTGTTTAAATAATTATGAGTTAAACTATTTACACTTTGTTTACATCATTTAGAACAAGATTTAATGATAAAATTACAAATAATAATTTGTACGTTAAAACCTGTATCTAGGGTGATCAAACACGGAGGGCAAATCATGAGGGCTCGCGAGTGTGTTGCCGGCCTTTAAAAACTAATATATTTCTAATAAGTACAGTTAGAAGAAAAATAGACTAGTTTGGAACTCGTTGAAGGCACATACGAATACGATGTTAACATTTTCATAAGAAACAGAAAACTTTGAAAAATTTGATTTCAAGTCACAACCACTTTTGAAAACACATTATAAAAACACACAATGGAAGAATGAACAGTGTTGACTTAGTGGTTTCGGCGTCTGACTCTCATCTTCGAGATTCGAGCCCCGGCTGTGCACCAATCGACTTTCTAGGTGCGCATAACACTCGCTCGTACACCATACAACATTGTAAGAAAACCGCATGCCTTAGAGCCAAAAAGTCGACGGTTTGACAGGCACAGACGGCTGATTTATTGGCCTATTAGAAAAAAATATGATTACTTAACAGATATAGAAATTTAAGGCCCAGACCTAAAAGGTAGTAGCGCAGTGTTTCACAACGTGGGGCCCACGTAGTACATGGGCGACGTTTGATTATAAAGGGGGGCAATCTAAATCAGCCGGATATAACACAACTAGAGACTTGAGACTGACGCCCACCAAATTGGAACCTAATACGAAATCTCTGTGAAGCAAGGATCAAACACAAGGATCTCACTAAATTAAAATAATAAATGAATATAAAAAAATCTTAATTAAAAATATTTGAAGTTAGATTTTCAGTTTTTAATTATGTTTTAACAATTTATTTACTGTGTTTCGATAACAATTTCCTAGTGATTCCTTCCTAAAACCTATGATTTATGTTTCTTTAGTAAACAATTAAATTTTTTGATATTAAAAAATTATGTATGTTATGGCATAAGAATTTTTGAAGGTGGGGCGGGGCACACCAAAAAGGTTGGAAAACACTAATGTAGCGACACTAATTCTTAAGATTATCTTGAAAACCTATTTGTCTCCTAAATTATTTCATTCTCTTTGATTACAAAGCACAAAAGGGATTTTCTAGAGCTTACTTCAAACGACGTTCTTAGACGTCTCGCTTCAAATCTCACTACAAAGAAACAGAGCGTTCGTCAAAAAGGCTCCACTGGTTGCTTTACCAATGTAAGCCTCTGCTTAGAGATGAAACGCAGAAATTCTTCGAATACGTTTAGGACACGTTTATTATTCTATTTATGACGCTTAAATTAAAAAAAACAGTGGCACTACAACCTTTTTAGGCCTCAGATTTCTGAATTTGTTTCATGATCATTTGTAAATCTAATAGACATAGATCAGTCTTTGACTTTTTGGTTCTAAAGCAAGACGGTTTCCTGACGATGTTTTCATTCACCGTTCGAGCGAATGTTAAATGCGCACATAAAAAGAAAGTCTATTGGTTCACAGCCGGGGATCGTAAACGACCTCAGGGATGAGAGTTGCACGCTGAAACCACCCTTATTGGCTCGGCATCATATATTCTCTCTTTAATTGCTTTAAAATCGTAAGTAATGCACCAGTCATCTTCGATTTCTATGGTTATAGGGTAAGATCCCCAAATGACTACCATAGTATTTCGACTCTGAATCCTGCACTAAGACTTCCGGTAATCTCAAGATGTTTTCCATCACCGTACGAGTGTAAATACTGACTAAGGTCCAAGATCACACTGCCTACCACATTATTTTATCATTATAAAAGGTTTCTAGGAATTAAAACTCTATCATCTACGTTATTAAATAATAATTAAAGACTCAGTTTTGTATCGCGCAGCCCGGACCTACCGGATACAACGACCAATATTTAAGGCTTGACTCGTTTACGGTTTAAGCAATCGCGGAATATAGGAGAAGTAAAAGGAGTATTAAGAATATTCATAGCGCAAAATCACCTGCATCATGAGCACACCCCACATACACACAGCCAAATTAGGTATCTCTTAGTATGTATTGAATAATTTTTATTGCTTCCCTTTTGTGAATTTTTAAACCTTTTTGTAGGAAAATAATATGTATTCTATCTCTGGCTATATTTTTAGGGTAATTGTCTATCTATATAGAATTTTTGTTAGCAGTAGGATTACGAAATAAATAAATATAAAATTGCGTGACATTACGGCAATTCCAACTTAATCACAATAATCACATTGTTATCTACGCAAACTTCACTTTCAAGTAATTTTACGAATTCTTCTACTGATATCAATATAGCTTGCATCTAAATAATAAATTTATGCTAATAACATCAATTATCTTGTTTGTTGCGTGAAAGTGTAGATGTTTGGCACTTTCCCGTAAAAAAATTATGATGTAAGAAGAAAGTTCTTGCGCCTTCGACGATGCGTGGATGTGTTTAACTATTGATAGTAGCCTTCTTACTCCATCATAAACAATAAAAAAATCAGTAACGTCAAAACTTTTTTAGGTCTGGGCCTCAGATTTCTGTATCTGTTTCATGGTCATTTGTCAATCTAATAGGCAAGTCAATGATCAGCCTCCTGTGCTTGACACACGCCGTCGGCTTTTTGGGTTTGAGGCAAGCCGGTTTCCTCACGATGTTTTCCTTCACGGTTCAAGCGAATGTTTAACTACTTCGCCTTCTTAATAGCCGCCTTAAAAACATACGTAACTCCTCCATATATTAACCGTACTTGATGGTTAAAACGTTTTCTTACTTTTTAAAGTGCGTTATTTTTTATTTTAAGCTTCATATATTTGCTATTATTTGTATGGATTCATTTTTTTTTGTAGACCACTTTTCAAGCAAATTTAATACAGAAATCTGTAAATATAAACGTCACTGAATTATTAGTTCAGTAAATCTTAGTAATGTTATATGTTATCCGGTATTAATATGTAGCTGGATCTGGATAATCACAAATCTTTATATTATATGGCAAAAGGCTTTAACAATAATTTGAAGAAGTGGTTCAAATTGAAAGACATATTCTTGTTTTATCGGAACACAAACTGTATACCAGAAAATTATGCTCATGTTAACATAGATCAAGTTACCATAGTCTTATTTAAAAAAAACTGATTATAATACAAAATAATATAGAGCAAGAGCCCAGGGCCGCCAGACGTTACTTATTTTCTGAGTAACAAAATGTATCGTACAGAGTAGTGTTAGTGTATACTCTAAAGGTATACATACATGCTAGCTTGGACCGGCGGCCAATTTACAGGTACCAGGTGCTAACGGTACATAAAAATATAGTTCACTTTTCTTAAAGTATGAGTGATAATTTTTGTATATATTTTATACAATTTTATTAGAAATTTAAAATTAACATTGCCAGACAGTTTTCGTAGGCGGTTATTTCCGCCAGACGCTTTAATAGCCCAAGAGCCAAGTGTGTAATAGGTCTTATTAAAAAAGAAACTCTCCGGGCTAATTCCAAGCCTACCCCACTTCTCCCTTCGCTATGATCGCGCACGCCAAACAAAAAATACTAATTAACAAGTACACGTTTCTGTTTAACCAATAAATAATTCTTTATCGACAAATCGTCTTGTAGAAATGTAAATAAATGCATACTTTTCACAATTCATTAGTAAATTTTACATATAACAACGACCATATAAATCGGCAAAACGAATATTTTAAAAGCACGCAAATAAAATGTTTAACGATGACATCGAGTAAATTAGCACACACTATCACGCTATTATTCAAATACTTTTTATTTAAAAATCTCTAATATTTGACAAAATTATGACAATTAAACAACTATATGTTTATAGCACATGTATCTTAATTCAAAAAAAGGTGCTGCAAACGCGCGAGGCTCACCTCTTATGGCTAACATAAGAGGTGAGCCTCTTGCCCGTTTGCCTATTACATAAAAAAAAGAATCTTGTTTAGTCTGTCAGCCTTGTCTAGCCTGATTTAGAATTTCTATGTACATATAGCATCTTGGTCTATGATTAAATTTCGCTTGTTGATAATATATGAAACGCAAAAGCTATGTCACATTTTTAAATTAACAAGTCTGGAATGAAACTTTATTAACGCGAGTTTAAACAAAAAGCGCTGTGTAACACGATTATAAAACTTTTCATATTCATGTCACTGCGCTGTGGCACAAATTACATTTTAATGAGACAAAAACGTTTATCGTATAAAATCACAAAGAACAGGCAGAGGTAATTAAAACACATTTTCATATTTCTTTTATCTTCGGTTTCCACCTGAAGGTTATCTGTTAATAACTTGAATTCGCTCGCTTCGTTACGCCCATTGTTATTTTTATTAAATCAACTACTAATTGTGACATTGACAATCAAACTCATAAAAAGATGTCCAAAGTATTGTTTTCGCGCTAGGTGTTGACAATTGACACATGACATACCACAACACAAGTGAGTATACGCATTCTGTACCTTTACAAGAATTCTGTTTTTAAACAAAAAAATTTATTCAGTAATGCTTAT